TGGAACCAGGCTGGGGGTATGTAAAAACACTCCACATGTAAACACACATGACGTCTTCATGGCTGCTTGGTTGGGCATGTTGCTTTTGCTTCCTCAGCTTCGTGAGACTGTTTGTGTGGTCACAACCCACTGGTCAGCTGCGATGTGCCTGAGGCTGGTCAGGCTGGCTGCTCTTTGTTTTTCTGCTCTCATCAGCTGCTTAGAATTTTAAAAATAATTTCTCTCCAAACCCTTTAGCTACCCAGAGCATAAACAGTACCCTGTTGAGTGAGTGTGTGTGTGTGTGTGTGTGTGTGTGTGTGTATGTTTCTGTTTTTCTTCTCTGATATATATCTTTCACATTATATAAGGAAAATCTGCTTATGATAGAATCTAAAAATGATAACAAGTGAAAAAGAAAAGAAAGCTACCTGTAATTCTACCAGCGAGCCCATGTGTTAGTATTTTGTGATACATCCTTCTGGATGTTTTTTTTAATCTATGCTTATATTTTTCCCCACAAAAAAATAGATTTTGGCCGGGCGCAGTGGCTCAAGCCTGTAATCCCAGCACTTTGGGAGGCTGAGGTGGGTGGATCATGAGGTCAAGAGATCGAGACCATCCTGGTCAACATGGTGAAACCCCGTCTCTACTAAAAATACAAAAAATTAGCTGGTCATGTTGGCATGTGCCTGTAATCCCAGCTACTCAGGAGGCTGAGGCAGGAGAATTGCCTGAACCCAGGAGGTGGAGGTTGCGATGAGCTGAGATCACGCCATTGCACTCCAGCCTGGGTAACAAGAGCGAAACTCCATCTCGGAAAAAAAAAAAAAAAAAAAAGATTTTGACCATATATACTAAATATATTTTCATTTTCACTTAGTGGTAGATAATTCATGTGTTATTCTGTAAAAACAAAAGATACTTAAAATGTATACCAAGGGCTGGGCACAGTGGCCCACATCTGTAATCCCAGCACTTTGGGTGACTGAGGCTGGCAGATGGCTTAAGGCCATGACTTCAAGATCAGCCTGGCCAACACGGCAAAACCCTGTCTCTACTAAAAATATAAAAATTAGCCAGGCATGGTGGCACATGCCTGTAATCCTAGCTACTCAGGAGGCTGAGGCAGGAGAATTGCTTAAACCTGGGAGGCAGAGGTTGCAGTGAGCCAAGATCATGCCAGTGCACTCTAGCCTGGGCAAGAAGAGCAAGACTCAGTCTCAAAAAATAAATAAAATTAAATTGGTATCAAGGATACATTCATGTATAAATATAAGTATAGAAGGGCTTATTGTTTTTCTCTTTTTCTTTTTAATTGCATTTTAGGTTTTGGGATACATGTGAAAAACATGCAAGATGGTTGCATAGGTACACACGTGGCAGTGTGATTTGCTGCCTTCCTCCCCATCACTTATATCTGGCATTTTTCCCCATGCTCTCTCTCCCCAACTCCCCACCCCCCACTGTCCCTCCCCTATTTCCCCCCAACAGACCCCAGTATATGATGCTCCCCTCCCTGTGTCCATGTGCTCTCATTGTTCAACACCCACCTGTGAGTGAGAACATGCAGTGTTTGATTTTCTGCTCTTGTGTCAGTTTGCTGAGAATGATGGTTTCCAGGTTCATCCATGTCCCTACAAAGGACACAAACTCATCGTTTCTGATGGCTGCATAGTATTCCATGGTGTATATGTGCCACATTTTTCCTGTCCAGTCTATCATCGATGGGCATTTGGGTTGGTTCCAGGTCTTTGCTATTGTAAACTGTGCTGCAATGAACATTTGTGTGCATGTGTCCTTATAGTAGAACAATTTATAATCCTTTGGATGTATACCCAGTAATGGGATTGCTGGGTCAAATGGAATTTCTATTTCTAGGTCCTTGAGGAATCGCCACACTGTCTTCCACAATGGTTGAACTAATTGACACTCCCACTAGCAGTGTAAAAGTGTTCCTATTTCTCCACTTCCTCTCCAGCGTCTGTTGTCTCCAGATTTCTTTTTGAATTTATTTTTTATTTTATTTTTTTTTAAAGATGGGGTTTCTCCATGATGGCCAGGCTGGTCTTGAACTCCTGACTTCAGGTGATCCACCCACCTCGGCCTCCCAAAGTGCTACCGCACCCGGCCAGTCTCCAGATTTTTTAATGATCACCATTCTAACTGGCGTGAGATGGTATCTCAATGTAGTTTTGATTTGCATTTCTCTAATGACCAGTGATGATGAGCATTTTTTCATATGTTTATTGGCCTCATGTATGTCTTCTTTTGTAAAGTGTCTGTTCTTATCCTTTGCCCACTTTTGAATGGGCTTGTTTTTTTCTTGTAAATCTGTTTTAGCTCTTTGTAGATTCTGGATATCAGCCCTTTGTCAGATGGGTAAACTGCAAAAATTTTTTCCCATTCTGTTGCTTGCCGATTCACTCTAATGACTGTTTCTTATTATAAAAAGCAAAAGGGGCCGGGCGCGGTGGCTCACGCCTGTAATCCCAGCACTTTGGGAGGCCGAGGCGGGTGGATCACGAGGTCAAGAGATTGAGACCATCCTGGTCAACATGGTGAAACCCCGTCTCTACTAAAAATACAAAAAAATTAGCTGGGCATGGTGGCGCATGCCTGTAATCCCAGCTACTCAGGAAGCTGAGGCAGGAGAATTGCCTGAACCCAGGAGGCGGAGGTTGCGGTGAGCCGAGATCGCGCCATTGCACTCCAGCCTGGGTAACAAGAGCAAAACTCCGTCTCAAAAAAAATAAATAAATAAAATAAAAAATAAAAAGCAAAAGCATCTGTCCTCTCCCACCCTAGGCTTATTTAAAAGGAACTTTTTATGATTTAGGGTTGTTCTTCTACCATTATTTCCTCCGTTTTTTTAAGTAAAATGCTTATACCATTATTTCTTGGCTTATCTGACTTCCTGACTTGCTGAGAAAAATAAAGCTTTTCCTCACTTACATCCCTCTCCCCTTCCTCCTCCCAACATATTCTTCACTGTATTCACTTCCTTGATCAGTTACCTTTGCAATATGAAAGAGTATAATTGACTTGAATTCCTTATTCCAGCAGCTTGTGACCCTGTCACTCTCGCGAGAAGAGATAGAGTCTCTACTCTTAACCCTGCTACCATATTATGATGTCAATCTGTCATCCATTCTGCTTTCCGAGGTCAAGATTGAAAACACTCCCATTCTGTGTAATAACCATCAGTCTCAAAGCTAAAGACCAGTGCTTTTTTGGGAGGCCAAGGTGAATGAATCACTTGAGGTCAGGAGTTCGAGACCAGTCTGGCCAACATGGTGAAACCCCATCTCAACTAAAAACAAAAATTAGCTGGGTGTGATGGTGCACACCTGTAATCCCAGCTACTTGGGAGGCTGAGGCAGCAAAATGGCTCGAACCTGGGAGGTGGAGGTTGCAGTGAGCTGAGATTATACCAGGGCATTCTGGCCTGGGAGACAGAGCAAGACTCCATCTGAAAATCAAGAAAAGGCTGGGCACAGTGGCTCATGCCAGTAATGCCAACACTTTGGGAGGCTGAGGTGGGTGGATTGCCTGAGCTCAGGAGTTAATGGCCAGCCTGGGCAACACAGTGAAACCCCATCTCTACCAAAGTACAGCAAATTAGCCGAGTGTGGTGGCGTGAACCTGTAGTCCCAGCTACTTGGGAGGCTGAGACAGGAGAATTGCTTGAGCCCGGGAGGCTGAGGTTGTAGTGAGCCGAGATCACACCACTGCACTCCAGCCTGGGCAACAGAGTGAGATGCCTTCTTCAAAACAAAACAAAACGAAAAAACCAGTGCTGAACATTTGCATTACTCTGTCAATGCAAATCATGTTCACTGCAGGGCCAGGCAGGGGCCACCCTTACACTTCCTTCTCTTCAGGTCTAATGTGACTCAAAGGAAAATGTTAAATATATTTTCCTTTCTTAATATTCTATTATGTGCTCAAAACCCATTACTTTCTATTTCAGTTTGCTTGATACTTTGACCATGCATTTCTTTTTTTTTTTTTTTGAGATGGAGTTTCGCTCTTGTTATCCAGGCTGGAGTGCAATGGTGCGATCTCGGCTCACCGCAACCTCCACCTCCTTGGTTCAGACAATTCTCCTGCCTCAGCCTCCTGAGTAGCTGGGATTACAGGCACGCGCCACCATGCCCAGCTAATTTTTTGTATTTTTAGTAGAGACGGGGTTTCACCATGTTGACCAGGATGGTCTCGATCTCTTGGCCTCGTGATCCACCCGCCTCGGCCTCCCAAAGTGCTGGGATTACAGGCTTGAGCCACCACACCCAGCCGCCTTTCTTTTTTTTAAGAGACGGGTCTATGTTGCCCAGGCTGGAGTGCAGTGGCTATTCACAGGTGCGATCCCACCACTGATCAGCACTGGAGTTTTGACCTGCTCCATTTCCAACCTGGGCTGGTTCACCCTCCTTAGGCAACCTGGTGGTCCCCCACTCCCGGGAGGTCACCATATTGATGCCGGACTTAGTGCAGACACCTGATCGGCATAGCGCACTACAGCCCAGAACTCCTGGGCTCAAGTGATCCTCCAGCCTCAGCCTCCTGAGTAGCTGGCACTACAGGCACGCGCCACCGCGCCCGGCGACCATGCCTTTCTTGCTTGTTTTTCTGGAGTTTCGAATACATCACTTTTCCCAGCTGCAAAGCATTCAGTTGGGATGGGGCATCTTATTATTTTTGACTAGGTCCCCTTGGATTTTTTTTATTAATGTGTAGGTGCCATAGTAAGCATTCTTTTTTTTTTCCTGAAAATTCCAACACCCAGACGTAGTAAGCATTCTTGTACATACATCTCTGCATTGTTTCTTATGTAATGTTTGGGAGTCTAGGAATGCTATTCGCCCGTCAACCCTGATTCCCGCCCCCACCGCCCCTAGCCCCTTGCCACCCTTTGCCTTGCTGATTACCTTCCTTGAAATCAGTCCATTCTAGAGCCTGGTGCAAGATGCGCCTGTGCGAGGGGTAGCCCCAGGTAATTTCCATCTTCCTCTCCCCAGGCTCTGAAGAGCGGCCATTCCTCAAATTTGAAGCTGAAAACATCTCCAACTACACAGCCCTTCTGCTGAGCAGGGATGGCGGGACCCTGTACGTGGGTGCTCAAGAGGCCCTCTTTGCGCTCAGCAGCAACCTCAGCTTCCTGCCGGGCGGGGAGTACCAGGAGGTGAGAGGTGTGACCTGGAGCTGGCTATGCTGGGCAGAGGACCACAGAGGGAAGACGGACAGGAAGCCTGACCTTCTGGGTCCAAGGGTGATTCTGGTGGGAGAGGAGGAAGCCCAGCGAGCCCTCCATTTCTTCCCCCACCTACCTTCCCCCTTCTCATTCGCAGCTGCTCTGGAGTGCAGACGCAGAAAGGAAACAGCAGTGCAGCTTCAAGGGCAAGGACCCACAGGTGAGCTCGAGTCTGCAGGCGCGCTGAGCTGCAGGAGGGACAGAGAGTGGTGGACCTCCATCCAGGCCAGAGGCGGGAGGTGGGCACAGGCACAGCCAGCTATGGTGGGAAGGGCATAAGCATCTGAGATGGTCAGGCCTGGGTTTGAATCCCAACTCTATACTTACATGTCTACGACCTCCAAGAAGTAGAGTCACCTCTCTGGGCCTTAGTGGACCCACCTGTAAAATGGGGATGAGGCTCCGATCTCACCAGGCTTACAGTGAGGATTCAGGAAGCGAATAGGTGTGAGGAATAACAAGTCAACTTCCAGCTCCCAGCATGAACAGGGATTGGGCGGGTGAGGGTTGTGTCCCTCTGCAGTTGGTTCCTGATGTAGCACATCTGACAGATTCTGGTTTGGTTTTGGCCAAAGCACAGGATGAAATCTGGGTTGAACCCAGGTTCTCCTGGAGGACTCCTCACCGTCCCCGGAGGCCTCCTGCTCCTGAGTGCAGCAGGTGCTGGGCAAGGTGAGGGCAAAAGAGCGCTGGGTTTGGGGTCAAGACACAGGTTCAAGTCCTGGCTGCCATTCTGTTATTCACCTGACATTGATTAGGCACACACTCTGTGTCCATATACTTTAAGTACTGGAGATTTAGTTGTGAAAAAGAGCAGGCTGGTGTGGTGGAAACAGAGAGGAAACAGCAGGCCAAGGTGGGCAGATCATGAGGTCAGGAGTTCAAGGGTAGCCTGGCCAACATAGTGAAACCCCATCTCTACTAAAAATACAAAAAAAAAATTAGCCAGGCCAGGTGATGGTGCACCTGTAATCCCAGATACTTGGGAGGCTGAGGCAGGAGAATCGCTTGAACCTAGCAGGTGGAGGTTGCAGTGAGCCAGGATTGCACGACTGCACTCCAGCCTGGTGACAGTGAGACTCTGACTAAAGAAAAAGAAAAAGCAGTACGTTTACAAAGGTTATTGGGAGGAGAAAAGGTGGTGGTGAGGTTACATCTTGTTTAAAAAGTGACATTTGAGCCAGGTATGGTGACTCATGCCTGTAATCCCAGCACTTTGGGAGGCTGAGGCGGGTGGATCACAAGGTCAGGAGTTCCAGACCAGCCTGGCCAATATGGTGAAACCCCTTCTCTACTAAAAATGCAAAAATTACCCAGGTGTGGTGGTGCTTGCCTGTAGTCCCAGCTACTAGGGAGGCTGAGGCAGAAGAATTGCAGTGAGTTGAGATCCCACCACTGCACTGCAGTCTGGGTGACAGCGAGACTAAATCTCAAAAAAAAAAAAAAGTGACATTTGAGCCAAGGTCAGGAGAGGGTGAGGAGTTGACCATACCTGGAGGAGGGGCAGGACTTTTGATGTCACTCTGAGGGAGACACTTGGGAGGCCAGGGGAGGGCTGAGCAGACACGTGAACTGGTCTCACCTGTGTACCAAGAGGGTCACTCTGACCACTGTGGCAGAGTAGCCTCTGTGGGGAAGGACAGGTTGAGGGAGAGAAGTGAGGGGTGAGGGACAGTGGTGCCTCGGGCCAGTGAGAAATGCTCAGATTCCCAATGCATTTTGCCGATGGAGCCACCCAGGATGTCTGGGTGGGAAACTGCGGGATATGACCAACACGAAGAGTCAAGGCTGACTGCGTTTAGGGCCTCAGCAGCTGAAAAGACAGAACTCATGAAAGTGGCAAGATCTCAGGGCAAGCATGTGTTTTAGGGAGGACCAGAAGCTTGGTTGGAGGTGCCTGTAAGATACCCACGTGAAGGTGATGGGTGAATCTGGGGCTCAGGGCTCAGGGCTGAGCGTTCCTCCAACTCTGGGCTGTGGCTTCGTTAGCCCCCAGCTTGGTTGGGAGGGACCTGTGGTTTTCTTTGAGCTTCTGAGGAGGACGCTCCATGGGGCCAGTACAGCTCAAGGGGGAAGCATTCTGTGTCCTCACCCCCAGACTGAAGGAAAGTTGGCCCGTCACAAAACTAGCTGAGCCCAAGGCTCCCTGCAGCACGCACACTCTATACACACTCCACGTCCCTGGAAACCTCTGGATTTTCCTTTGTTCCCAGACCTGAGTGCCCCATGCCAGGTGGTCCTGGGAGCAGAGGCTGGGCCTGGGTATGGTGAGGAGGGCTCGGCGCTGCCCCCTGGTGGCATGCTTGGCTATGGGCCTGATCTCACTCCTTCCCACAGCGTGACTGTCAAAACTACATCAAGATCCTCCTGCCACTCAGCAGCAGTCGCCTGATCACCTGTGGCACAGGAGCCTTCAGCCCCGTGTGCACCTACATCGTGAGTGCCCCATCCTCACCCCTGAGGCTGGCTTGGGAACTGCCCCTCTTTCTGCCCCAGGGCTCCTGTTCTTCAGCATGGACCCCTGGTGAAAGACAGGGCCCAGAAGAAGGCTTCTAGGTACGACTGGCCTCCGAGAGCCTTGAGGTCCCACACCCTGGCACACAGACAGCTACAACTCCCTGTGCAGGGAGGAGAGGCGGGGGTGCATGCCGTCACTCACCACGAGGATCCTGGCCCACCCAGGCCTTGCCGCCCCCTCCTGCTTCTGGCAGCCTCTCTCCCTCTCCTTTGCTTGATTCACTTGTCTGACCTTGCACACCCCCTCCTCAGCACACACCCCTAGCAGAGGGTGCTGTTTGATGCTGTGGGTTGGAGCCCAGCATTGGGATCAGACATGCCTGAATTTGAATCACGTCGCCTCTTCCAGGCTCACATCGTTTTCTAAGCCTCACCTCCACCAGGGGCTGTGAGACAGTGCAGCACCGTGTCTGGGTGAGGGCTCTCTGGAGGCCAACTGTCCAGGTTCAAACCCTGTGGCACCGTGTCCTGGGTGAAGAGAGGATGGCCTCCCTGACACCTGCCCCCTTCTGTCCTGCACACCTCACCTGCCTGCAGAGTTGCCTTCTCTGGTATCCTTCTCTCTTTCTCGCCAAGCCTGCTCCTCATTCCCTGGTGTGTCCCTGAGCCCATGTATCTGCCCTCCCTCAGAACGTGGAGAACTTCACCCTGGCAAGGGACGGGAAGGGGAATGTCCTCCTGGAAGATGGCAAGGGCCGTTGTCCCTTTGACCCCAATTTCAAGTCCACGGCCCTGGTGGTTGGTGAGTTTTGGGGGCAAGATGTGTTCATTGAAGCTCCATCTGGGGGCAGGCAGGGCTAGAGGGATAGGGTGTAGGGTAGGTCCATGCCATGCTCATTTCCAGGGCACGGAATGGCCATGGACTTGCCTTGGGTTTGGTTTTTCCAAGTTACTGCTTCCATCTCGGCCCACCACAGGCAAAGCAGGCAGTGCTGGGGTCACTCTGGGCCCTGGGCAGGGACAAGAGGCCATGCTGAGGAGCGCATTCCCATGGGAATGTTCTCTTTGCAGATGGTGAGCTCTACACTGGCACAGTCAGCAGCTTCCAAGGGAATGACCCGGCCATCTCCCGGAGCCAAAGCCTTCGCCCCACCAAGACCGAGAGCTCCCTCAACTGGCTGCAAGGTGAAGTCCTCTTGCCACCACCCAGAGGGCTGGGATCCTGTGCTGGGGCCCTAGGAGTGGGGCACTCTCCCCCAGCAGGGCCTGTCTCCTGGGTTGCTGGGCTGACTCTGAGCTCCTAACCTGGCCCCTGCAGACCCAGCTTTTGTGGCCTCAGCCTACATTCCCGAGAGCCTGGGCAGCTTACAAGGAGATGATGACAAGATCTACTTTTTCTTCCGAGAGACTGGCCAGGAATTTGAGTTCTTCGAGAACACCATCGTGTCCCGCATTGCCCGTATCTGCAAGGTGAGGGGGATGGGCCGACATGGTGACACCCCGGTACCTCAAAAGCGCCACAGCTGCGAGACCACCCATATTCACGCGTGGCCTTTCCCATCCCCCAGGGGAACAGCCTGGCTAACAGCTGTTCTCTCTCCTTTTAAATCAAAATATCTTACAACTTTTTTCTTTTTCTTTTTTCTCTTTTGAGACAAGGTCTTTGCTCTGTCACCCAGGCTAGAGTGCAGTGGCACAATCACAGTTCACTTCACTGCAGCCTTGACCTCCTGGGCTCAAGCAGTTCTCCTACCTCCGCCTCTGGAGTAGCTGAGACCATAGGTGTGCGCCTCCATGCCCAGCTAATTTTTGTATTTTTTGTAGAGATGGGGTTTCACCATTTTGCCCAGGCCTGTCTCAAACTCTTGGGCTCAAACAGTCCACCTGCCTCAGCCTCCCAAAGTGCTAGGATTACAGGCATGAGCTACTGCACCCAGCCTTTTTTTTTTTTTTTTTTTTTTTTTTTTTTTTGAGACAGAGTCTTGCTCTGTTGCCCATGCTGGAGTGCAGTGGTGTGATCTTGGCTTACTGCAACCTCCACCACCCAGGTTTAAGGAATTGCCTGCCTCAGCCTCCTCAGTAGCTGGGATTATAGGTGTCCGCCACCACGCCTGGCTAGTTTTTGTATTTTTAGTAGAGATGGGCTTTTACCATCTTGGCCAGGCTGGTTTTAAACTCCTGACCTCGTGATCTACCTGCCTCGGCCTCCAAAAGTGCTGGGATTATAGGTGTGAGCCACCGCACCCGGCCCATTTTTTTCTTACTTAAAAAATGTGAAAATAGAGAACTGTACAGACAAAAATCACTTACAAGATAAAGAGGCACCATCGTGACAGCTGGAGAGCACAGACTCCAGAGGCCAACCATCCGGGTTCAGACCCTGCTAGTCCAGGATCCTGGGCAAGTCCCTCACCTGCTCACTTAACCGTTTCCTCATCTGTTAAGTAGGAATACTGACACTGACCTCAGTGTTGTTATGTGAATTCATTTCATTCCTCCATGCGAAGCTCTTAGAAATGTGGTGGGCAGTGAGTAAACTTGAACGATTGGTGTTACCACCCAGCACCCCAACAAGAAGAGGTCACTGTGCACATTTTAGAATGCCCCCTCTTTTTTTTTTTTTTTTTTAAGTTTGGCATGTGTGTAACTGTGTGTGTGTGTGTGTGTGTGTGTATTTTTTTTTCTTTTTTGAGACAGGCTCTCACTTTGTCACCCAGGCTGGTGTGCAGTGGCAAGATTTCACTGCAACATCCACTGCCCAATTTCAAGCGATCCTCCCACCTCAGTCTGCCATGTAGCTGGGACTAGCAGCACATACCAGCACACCCAGCTAATTGTTTTATATTTTTAGCAGAGACAGGGTCTCAAACTCCTGAGCTTCAGTGATCCACCCACCTTGGCCTCCCAAAGTGCTGGGATTACAGGCATTAATAACATAAGTACAGTCCCGACCTTGTACTTAGATTATGAACTCACCCGCCAACATGCCTTAGCCTGTATCAGGGTCCTTTGGCTGCCTTGTTTGCTCAGCAGTGAATTGCAGCCTCCTTTCTGTGTCTAGGCAGGCTCTGCTGGCTCATAGTAAGGAGCACATCCTCCTGGTGGACATGGACACTGCCTTCAGGTCTTCTTGACTTTTTTTTTCTTCTACACGGAGTCTTGCTCTGTCACCCAGGCTGGACTGCAGTGGCGCGATCTCGGCTCACTGCAACCTCTGCCTCCTAAGTTCAAGTGATTCTCCTGCCTTAGCCTCCCGAGCAGCTGGGACTGCAGACGCACGCCACCACACCTGGCTAATTTCTGTATTTTTAGTAGAGGCAGGGTTTCACCATATTGGCCAGGCTGGTCTTAAACTCCTGACCTTGTGATCCACTGCCTTGGCTTCCCAAAGTGCTGGGACTGTAGGCGTGAGTCACCGCGCCAGGCCATCTTGTTTCTTTCATTGGACCTTAGTCCTGGCCTTCTCCTGCCCTTCAGTCCTGGTGTCTGGGGTGGGTCCGTCGAGGCAGTCCTATGCCATGCGTTCCCCTCATGGCTCGGCGTGCACCTAAGCCCAGACCATCCCCGTGTCCCTCCAGGGCGATGAGGGTGGCGAGCGGGTACTGCAGCAGCGCTGGACCTCCTTCCTCAAGGCGCAGCTGCTGTGCTCACGACCCGACGACGGCTTCCCGTTCAATGTGCTCCAGGACGTCTTCACACTGAGCCCCAGTCCCCAGGACTGGCGTGACACCCTTTTCTATGGGGTCTTCACTTCCCAGTGGTAGGACCCCCAGACCTCGCTGGAGACGGGAGGGTGAAGGATGGCTGGGACTGGGGCCCCCAGTGGGTTAATGCGGTTATTTCCTCTGCAGGCACAGGGGAACTACAGAAGGCTCTGCCGTCTGTGTCTTCACCATGAAGGACGTGCAGAGAGTTTTCAGTGGCCTCTACAAGGAGGTGAACCGTGAGACGCAGCAGTGGTACACCGTGACCCACCCGGTGCCCACACCCCGGCCTGGAGCGGTGGGTACTGGCTCCCTGTACCCCACGGGGGTGCTGGGAAGATGTGGGTCCCCACACTATGCTGGGACCACGGCTGCCTAGCCTCAGGCAAATCACTTGGCTTCTAAATCTGTTCTCTCATCTTTAACATGGATACATAGGCCAGGCATGCTTGTCTACAGGGTTAGATATAACCACGAATGTCAGAATATCTTCCATTCTGTTTCAGGATTGCTGGGCAAGTGTGTCCCCATCAGGGCCCTTGCTGCAGGCTCCGTACTTGGTCCTCTCCCCTACTCAGCTTCGAGCTTCTTATTTAATTATCCAGTGACTGAATGGCCAAGCTGTGGGAAATGGTCCCTTCTTCCTCCCTTCTAGCCTAACGGGCTTCCCTGCAAGCAGACCTTGAGACAGGGATACACGTGCCAAATAGTTAATTTGGGAGGTGATGCCAGGAAGCAGCATGAAGGAATAGGGGGGCTGAGAGGAAGAGGGAAGGAATCAAGTAAGGGTGTCAGCGAGCCGTTGTTGCTGCGCCAGAGCTGAGTCCCGCCAGAGCCCCTGACAGATGGCGAGGAGCACCTCTCAGAGTTTCAGGAAGCCCCAGGCAGTGCAGGAAGGAGCTGCCCCCTGCACTGGGCCACTGCCCAGCCAGGGCTTCCTGCCAGCACTGGTGAAGGGTGCTGAGGAGCAGGGAATGTGGTCCCCGTTCTTGAGGCCCTGGGTCTGAGGCTGGGGTGGTAGGCGGGGAGGAGGCATAGCAAGGAAGCCCCCCAGGCGCTCGGCTTCTCCACACCCTGGGCTTTGCCCTTGCTCTCTCAATTGCACGCCAGCTCTGGGCAGCACTGCCAGGGATGTGCCCTGGCTCTGGGGGGATGGACACCACTGCTTTCTACTGGAGAGGCAGGGTGCTGCCCTGGGCATGCTGGCCTCACGCTGCTGCCTTTGCCTCCAGTGCATCACCAACAGTGCCCGGGAAAGGAGGATCAACTCATCCCTGCAGCTCCCGGACCGCGTGCTGAACTTCCTCAAGGACCACTTCCTGATGGACGGGCAGGTCCGAAGCCGCCTGTTGCTGCTGCAGCCCCAGGCTCGCTACCAGCGTGTGGCTGTACACCGCGTCCCTGGCCTGCACCACACCTATGATGTCCTCTTCCTGGGTACTGGTAAGTGTCTGCAGCCTGGTGGGCTCAGGGGAAGGGGTGTACATGGCCGGTGGGTCCTGGGCGGTGGGCTCCACCCCAGGCCTGAGTCCTGTCCACACCCCAGGTGACGGCCGGCTACACAAGGCGGTGAGCGTGGGCCCCAGGGTGCACATCATTGAGGAGCTACAGATCTTCTCCTTGGGACAGCCCGTGCAGAACCTGCTTCTGGACACCCACAGGGTGAGCAGGCCAGGGAGGAACCCTGGTAGGGTGCTTGGGGGGTGCCCTCCATCAGCGCCAAGCGGTCCCCACTCAGCTTCTCCTTCCTTGCCTCAGCAGGGCGGAAAGATTCAGGATCCAGGCTCATGGCATGAGCTATTAGAAAGTAGGGTCACTGGTTCTATAACAGGCCTCTTGGGGTTGGCTCTGGGAGGCATCCAAGTGAGGTGGCCATGGGTGCTGGCCCTGGCTGCCCGTCCCGCTTCTCATCCCATGTTTGGCTGTGCAGGGGCTGCTGTATGCGGCCTCACACTCGGGCGTAGTCCAGGTGCCTGTGGCCAACTGCAGCTTGTACCGGAGCTGTGGGGACTGCCTCCTCGCCCGTGACCCCTACTGCGCTTGGAGTGGCTCCGGCTGTAAGCCTGTCAGTCTCTACCAGCCTGAGCTGGCCGCCAGGTAAGCACTCCCAAAGCCCCTTCCCACCTGTCCATCCCTGCACGGGTGGCTTCAGAGCACCATGCTGGGCCCTCTTCAGGACCACCACACCTCATGGACGTCCACTGTCTCAGTACCTTGCTAGGCCGTCCTCAGGACCACCATACACCTCATGGACGTCCACTGTCTGAGCATGATCATTCATTAGCTCATTTGCTTCAAGTGAAGTTCAGACGGGAAATTATATGTTTGCCTTGGCTACCTATAAAATGAGGACATGATTTGCTTAAGTATGAAATAGCACAGCTTTGAAAAACCTTGCAGGAACATGTGGATTAGCATGTGAACGTGCTTAGTAATAGCAGGGCTACAAAACAGTCCATTAACAAACCCATGAAAAACTGGCTTCAGGCTGGGCTCAGTGGCTCACGCCTGTAATGCCAACACTTTGGGAGGCCAAGGCAGGTGAATCTTGAGGTCATGAGTTCAAGACCAGCCTGACAAAGATGGTGAAACCCCATCTCTTTTAAAAAAAAAAAAATGGTTTCGGCCAGGCGTGGTGGCTCAAGCCTGTAATCCCAGCACTTTGGGAGGCCGAGGCGGGTGGATCACGAGGTCAAGAGATCGAGACCATCCTGGTCAACATGGTGAAACCCCATCTCTACTAAAAATACAAAAAATTAGCTAGGCATGGTGGCAGGTGCCTGTAATCCCAGCTACTCAAGAGGCTGAGGCAGGAGAATTGCCTGAACCCAGGAGGCGGAGGTTGCAGTGAGCCAAGATCGCGCCATTGCACTCCAGCCTGGGTAACAAGAGCGAAACTCCATCTCCAAAAAAAAAAAAAGGTTTCAGAATAACCTATTTGGATTATAAAATGCTTATTTAGAAAATAGGAATGAACACAAACAAAAACTACCCCTCCCCCATCATCTAGAGCATCACAGTGAGATTTTCATATATTATCCTCCCGGATTTTACTACATGTGTATAGAAAACAAAACTCCTTTTATTTTATTTAATTATTTTTTGAGACAGAGTCTCGCTCTGTCACCCAGGCTGGAGTGCAGTGGCACAATCTTGGTTCACTGCAACCTCTGCCTCCTGGGTTCAAGCGATTCTCCTGCCTCAGCCTCCCGAGTAGCTGGTATTAATAGGTGCCTCCCACCACACCAGGCTAATTTTTGCATTTTTAGTGGAGGCAGGGTTTCACCACGTTGGCCAGGCTGGTGTCGAACTCTTGACCTCAAATAATCCACCCACCTTGACCTCCCAAAGTGCTGGAATTATAGCCGTGAGCCACCACTTCTGGCCATTCATATATTCTAAATAACACTGGGAACTGCTTCACATATGGATTCACCAAGTGTCAGTTTTTAAAAAATCCGAGTATGAGTTTCCAGCCTGTACCTGGAGGGACACCGCAGGATGTTAACTATCATGATCACTGGCTGGTAGACGCTGTGATTTTTGTAATGTTTTCATCTTTCACGACTGGTTTTCTGTTTCCTGAGTGCATCCAGAATTACTGTCCTTTTTTTTTTTTCTTTTTTGAGGCGGAGTTTCGCTCCTGTTGCCCAGGCTGGAGTGCAATGGCGCAATCTTGGCTCACTGCAACCTCCACCTCCCGGGTTCAAGCGATTCTCCTGCCTCAGCCTCCCAAGTGGCTGGGATTACAGGCATACGCCACCACGCCTGGCTAATTTTTTTTTTTTGTATTTTTAGTACAGACAGGGTTTCTCCATGCTGGTCAGGCTGGTCTCGAATTCCCGACCTCAGGTGGTCCACCTGAGTCAGCCTCCCAAAGTGCTGGGGTTACAAGCGTGAGCCAAAAAATTTTTTTCAATTAAAAATAGTTTTTTTAAAAAAAAATTTTTTTCCTGGCCAAAAAATTTTTTTCAATTAAAAATAGTAAACAGAGAGATATACATACAGATCCAGCTGTCCTTCCAGTCTTTTTCTGAGGGTACATACTGTTTTTCATTATTATTTTTTGAGACAGGGTCTCTCTGTGTTGCCCAGGCTGGAGGATAGTGGTGTGATTACAGCTCACTGCAGCCTTGGCCTCCTGGGCTCAAGCAATCCTCCAACCTCACTCTCCCAAGTAGGTGGAACCACAGGCATGTGCCACCACACCTGGCTAATTTTTGTATTTTTTGTAGAGACGGGGTCTCGCCATGTTGCCCAGGTTGTCTTGAATGCCTGGGCTCAAGCGATCTACCCACCTTGGCCTCCCAAAGTGCTGGGATTACAAGCATGAACCACTGCGCCTGGCCACTGAGGGTACATACTGTTTATGTAATTAAGGGAATTGTTATCTTAGTTTTTACTTGAAATAACGTGTAGACAGAGGAGATGCTGATTCCTTCATGTCGGGAATCAGCTCAGGAAAGGCCTTTGTCCAGGCCCAAGTCTGCACTGAGGGGTGAGGGAATGCGGACGCAGGGGACTTCCTGGCCAGTCCCAGACTCTCTCTGGTCCTCAGGCCATGGATCCAGGACATCGAGGGAGCCAACGCCAAGGACCTTTGCAGCAGCTCTCCAGTCATGGGTCGATCTTTTGTACCAATAGGTGAGGTACCCCTCAAAGGGTGGAGAGAGGTGGGGACAAGTCTGCTTGGAACTTCCCCCAGGCACAGATGTTGTAAACGCCTTTCCTCACATCCTTGCCCCAGCCCTGTAGTCAGGGCCCCAGGAAGACTCAGACCCAGGAGTCCCCCGAGTTGCCCATCATGGCACCAGGGGCATAGTCCAGAGGGAGGCAGGGGATACTGGCTCCGCCCTACCTCATGCCTTTTCTGCCTGCAGCTGAGAAGCCCTGTGAGCAAGTCCAGTTCCAGCCCAACACGGTGAACACTTTGCCCTGCCCGCTCCTCTCCAACCTGGCGACCCGACTCTGGCTGTTCAACGGGGCCCCTGTCAATGCCTCAGCCTCCTGCCATGTGCTGCCCACTGGGGACCTGCTGCTGGTGGGCAGCCAACAGCTTGGGGAGTTCCAGTGCTGGTCGCTGGAGGAGGGCTTCCAGCAGCTGGTAGCCAGCTACTGCCCAGAGGTGGTGGAGGACAGGGCAGCAGACCAAACAGATGGGGATGCCAGTGTGCCTGTCATCATCAACACGTCACGTGTGAGTGCACCAGCTGGTGGCCGGGCCAGCTTGGGTGCAGACAAGTCCTACTGGAAGGAGTTCCTGGTGATGTGCACGCTCTTTGTGCTCGCCGTGCTGTTTGCACTTTTATTCCTTCTCTACCGGCACCGGGACAGCATGAAAGTCTTCCTGAAGCAGGGGGAATGTGCCAGCGTGCACCCCAAGACCTGCCCTGTGGTCCTGCCCCCCGAGACCCGCCCACTCAATGGCCTAGGCCCCCCGAGCGCCCCACTTGATCACCGAGGCTACCAGGCCCTGTCAGACAGCCCCCCAGGGGCCCGAGTCTTCTCCGAGTCAGAGAAGCGGCCGCTTAGCATCAAAGACAGCGTTGTGGAGGTGTCCCCAATGTGCCCCCGGCCCCGGGTCCGCCTCGGCTCGGAGATCCGTGACTCTGTGGTATGAGAGCTGACTTCAAGAGGACGCTGCCCTGGCTTTAGGGGCTGTGAATGCTCGGAGAGGGTCAACTGGACCTCCGCTCCAGCTCCTCGTGGAATACAGCAGCGGTGCCCAGTCCTCGGGAGCCAGCTGGCCTGCTGCTCTCTGATCAAGTAGTGAGGCTCCAACCACCAAGACACCCGAACAGCCGTGGCGCCAGAGGTCCTGGCCAAAGATGGGCACCTGCCTAGGTGGGTGGAACAGTGCTCCTTACGTAAACTGAGCCTTTGTTTAAAAAACAATTCCAAATGTGAAACTAGAGAGGAAAGAGACAATGTGGAATGGCACGCACTGGCTGCTGAAGTTCATGGCTTCCCAGGCCACTGGAGATGCGTCCAGAGTTGTGGAGACAGAGTTGGAAACCTTCACCAACTGGCCTCTTCACCTTCCGCCTTATTCCGCTGCCACAAGCTGCCCTGTCTCACTGCAGACCTCAGGACCAGCTCGGGCTCCATGTGTTCTGCCTTGCCAGCCGGCCGAGAATCCAGGACCGCCTCGGGCTCTGTGAGGATCCAAAACCAGCTCGGGGTCTGTGCATCCTGCCTTGCCAGCCAGCTGGCTAAAAATCCAGAACCAGCTTGGGCTGTGTGCATCCTGCCTTGCCAGCCATCAAGGATCCAGGACCAGCTCAGACCCCGCATGCCAGTGGAGGATGTCATTGTTGCTGCCATCATCCCACCACCTCAGGGACCAGAGGGCTGGGTTGGCACTGCGGCCCTCACCAGGTCCTGGGCTTGAACTCAGTTCCTGGACCTTTCCGGCCTGTATCAGGCTGTGGCCACATGAGGGAGAGGACAGCGTGAGCTCAGGAGAGACTCAGTGACAGTGTGTGCCTTTCCCTCAGAATTCAAGAAGAGACTATTGCCTGCCTCCTGCATCGTAGCCTGAGAATCGTGTGCCCTTCCTACCACATGCACCCTAGCTCCATTGTGGAACTCAAACACAAGGAACTAACCGTACCCTGTCCTCTCCCCAGGCCTCAATTCACCCCTCATCCCTCACTTGCCTCTACTCTAAGGGATATCAAACACTGCCCAGCGCAGGGGTCCTGAATTTATGTGGATTTTATATGTATTTTTAATACAATGCACTTTATGTCATTTTTTTTAATAAAGTCTGCAGAATTATTGTTTAATCCTGGCTCTTCCTCTTAAAGGACACTTGCTTTTTGAGGCTGGTCTCGTTCTGAGTTCTGAGGGGTTCTGAGCCACCTCTGCAGGCTCAGGTGAGCCAAAGTCAGCCTAGCCTGGCCAGTGACATCTCCCTGTGGAGCAGCTCTGAGTGGGGAGCTTCACCCACTGATAGGCAGAGGCAGGAGGTTGACTTCGGTGACCTCAACCCCTTTATTCTACATCCCCGATTTGGTTTAGCAGGGGTAGCGACACAGGAGGGATGTGACGGGGGCCCTTTGTTATAATTTTTAATTTTTCAAATCATGCAGTAAAATGGACTTTATTGATGGGGTTCTTGACATTTTGGCATGCAGAGAGTCATCGAACCACCACCCCAGTCAGGATACAGGAGACCACCCCCCTCATGCTGCCCCTTCGTCCTCAACCGTCCCACAGGACAGCTGGCATGGTGCGGCTTGACTTCCCACTGGCCCCTGCTCTGTACGCTGCTCATTCCTGCTGGAATTCCTGATGAGGTACGGCTGCTAGAAGAGAAGTCCAGGCCAGGCGCGGTGGCTCACGCCTGTAATCCCAGCACTTTGGGAGGCTGCGGCGGGTGAGTCACAAGGTCAAGAGATCGAGACCATCTTGGCCAATATAGTGAGGTGTGCCTGTAGTCCCAGCTACTTGGGAGGCTGAGGCAGGAGAATTGCTTGAGCCCGGGAGGCAGAGATTGCAGGGAGCCGAGATCACGCTACTGCACTCCAGCCTGGACAACGAGCAAGACTCCGTCTCAAAAAAAAAAAAAAAAAAAAAAAACGAAAAAAAGAAGTCCAGTCTTTCCTCATACCAGTGTAACTCGGCTCACACACAGGGTCAAGCTTCTAAACCTTTATTACTGATTAGTACAAACAAACAGGGCAATGGCAGAGGAGCGGCCCTGACGAGGAGGCCGCCCTTGACCGGGTGAGGCTGCACAGTGCCAGCTCCAGGCTGGGCCCGCCTGGCCCACCCTGGCAACACAAGCTTGACCTTGCCCACAGCTCAGCAGCAGAAAGGTTCTTGGACAGGGTATCAGGACACACACCAGGGCTGCTGTCACAGGACAATCTTAAAGGAGCTGAACAAGAGAAAAGTGGGGTGAGTTTTCTGCTGGAAGAGGAGGGGAGGGACTAAACCCAAACTCGCCCCTTCTCCCTTTAGCCCCTTCTTTGAAACGAGCTGTGTCTGTGTGAGTCAGTCCCCTCTGGAAGAATTCCCCCAGACTTCCAGAGGAAGCTTCTGGACCCACACACAGGGTCAGAGCTTCTAAACTTGTATTACTAAGTGGTACAAACACAGGGCAATGACAATAGCAGTGAGAAGGGGAGAGGCCTTGACAAGAAGAGCCGCCCCTGCCCGGGGTGAGACTGCCAGCTTAGCCGGCCATGGGTGTGGGGACCAGGGCTTTCTCTCACCCCTGGCACCACCTCCTGTAGCAATGTCCTAGGCTGGGACCTGCAGGTGCCCAGAAGGCAGGGGGACCACTGTTGTACCTGGCAAAGTCTGGGGAACGGGAGATGACGTGCTGGAACTCAGAGAGGTTGATGGTTCCATCCCTGTCAATGTCAGACTCCTCCAGGATCTGGGGAAGGGAGAGTTTCAGGCCAGAGCCACAACCCTTCCCTCCCGCTCCCAGGCCCAGCTGCTCACATTGTCAACGAGCTGCTTCATCTCGGACGCACTGAGCCGTGTGTCCTCGCTCTCTCCTGTGAGGCAGTTTACCAGCTGGCTCAGGTCTTCTCTGTTCAAGGTTCCATCATCATCAAAGTCTAGAGAGCAGACACAGGAAGCCAAAAGACATGGTCAGGAGGGGCTCTGAGGTTCCACAAACGGTGCCCATTTCCCAAGCATGGCCACCACAAAGCCCACGTGGGAAAGGGTGGTGTCCCACCGGGCTTTGGTTCTCACCGAAGATTCGGAAGGCATAATGGGACTTGATATCTGGCGTGGCTGTGTCACTGAACACACTGAGGAGGTCCAGGAAGTCCTCGAAGCTAAGGCTGTCTCTGGTTGGGGACGTGGAGAAGACTCTGCAGATTCGCTCCTTGAAGGGGTTGGCCTAGGAGAACAAATACCATAGGACGTGGCCCAGGTCACACACTCATCAAACACTATTAGAAACTTGGGAGAGCAGGTCATAGGATCAGCAGCAGGGAGCTCAGGCTCTCAAGGGTGAATGATCAGTGCTTTGGGGCCAACATGCAGGGCCATGGGGGCACAGGAGGGCAAACTGAGCCAGTTGGGGAAGGGACTGAGACAGCTTCCTGGGAGTCAAGTGTTTAACCCAAAGGCAGGTCATGTACAACCTAAGTGTGAGCAAAGAGGGAAGAAGAAGGCATCTTAAGCAAAGGGAACGAGATGGGCTGGTTATTTTAAAACACGAATGGTTAACTGAACACCTATTGTGTTATAGGCCCTGGCTCAGACCCTTTGCACAAAATTTTCACAACAGCCCTGTGAATTTGCAATCACCCTCTAGAACAGGGTTCCTCAAACCTTAATATGGTAACTCAACTCCTCTTAAAGAACAAAACTTCTTTGAACTTCCAAGAATATGTCCTAGAATCCCCATTTGAAAAGCACCATTCTAGAGAATTCTGCCAGGTGATATTAGTAAAGTCCTTGCCCCCAGAAAATTAGAACTAAGCAGAGAAATGACCAGAATGGGGACCAGTGACCTCATGATCTCAAAGCTAGCGGCAGATGGAGTTAGGGGGGTCTAGCAGGGAGGGAGTGGTGAGGGAGGGGTCAAAGGAGGGGAGCACTGGCACCTTGAGCTCTGGAAGGCTGAGGATCTGCTCGAAGGACACTTGTGCCCGAAGTGACGCCTCCACGCTCTGCTGCTCCTGGGGAAGCAGCTCACAAAACCGCTTGTGGGCTCTGGCAGAGAGAGGGGAACGGTTGGCCCTCTCAGCGATAGGTGTCCCTGTGTGTTCATTCCCACTCCTTGCCTGCTGCTCATCAACCAAGTGAGGAGCTGAAACCACGTACATAGAACTTCCCAGTCATCAGGCAACAGTAAGCAAAAGGACATGTCAGGAGGCTGTACAGCCTAGGAGTCTAGTCTTACGGTGAGTATTTACTGAGCATCTACTATGTGCTGGGCACTGATTCTAGAGATCCCCGAGGGATAAAGAGGTTGGGGATGGAGCCAGAAGTTGGCCCTAAAGAACTGGCCAGGTGCTATGGCTCACGCCTGTAACCCCAGCACTTTGGAAGGCCAAGGTGGGCAAAGCATTTGAGGTCAGGAGTTTGAGACCAGCCTGAGCAAAATGGTAAAACCCTATCTCGACTAAAATACAAAAATTTGCCGGGCATGGTGGCTGGTGCCTGTAATCCCAGCTATTCAGGAGGCTGAGGCAGGAGAATCACTTGAACCCAGGAGGCAGAGGCTGCAGTCAGCAGAGATCGTGCCACAGCACTCCAGCCTGGGCAGAGACTCTGTCTTGATAAATAAATAAATACATACATACATACATACATACAGGGAGAAAAAAACAAAACCAAAAATCTCATTATCACCTCCACTCCAGGGATCTCTTGCCTTCAAAACCTCCTTTTTAGCAGCCACCCTGAACTGTCCTCCTCCTCAGCCTCCATCTCCTTCCCATGAGATCATCTTTGCGCAGGAAGCCCAGGCATCTCCTCACTCAAGTGCCCGCCCTGCATATATCTGGCAAAAGGGCTTCCAGGTCAAGTTCAAATCTACTTGCTCAGAGTGTTGTCTTAGGCAGTTAGCAAACCTCTCTGAACCTGTTTCATTGTCCAGTACCTCTCTCCTAAAGATTAAATTAGGTCATGCAGGCAACCATTTAGCACAGTCCCTGGCACAAGGTGAGTGCTCAGAAAGCGTTAACGGTTCCTGTATTGTTCAGGTCAAGTTGGGAGAAGGAGCCAGACTCCCCAAGGCTTCCGTGGCTTAGCCACTGCGCAAAGCCGGCCCCTGCCGGACTAGAGCAGGAAGTTCGGCAGTGATGAAGCTAGTCAGCTCAGGGTCAAAGAGCACCTAACTTTTCTCGGAGGCTGCCACGCAGAGCCCCCGGCGAGGGCGGGGAGGGCGCAGCCCGGGCAGGGTCTCCCGGCCTCCAGCCCCAGCCCCTCAGCCGACCTCAGGCCGGCCCCCGCCCCTCCCTTGGGACAGCGCCCCCCGCGAGTCCGCCTCTAGAGGAGCCCGGGATCAGAGGCGGGGTTCAAGGCAGCACTTACAGGAGGATCTCTTGCTTCGTCAGGAACGTCAAGTCCTGGAATGCAAAGCCAGAGCGGGGGTTATCGGGCCGCCGGGAGGCCGTGACCGCCCCGCCGCCGCTCCCGGACCCCGCCCGGGAACAGACCGGCACGCGACTCCCTAGGGCCCGGCGTCCCGCGCACCTGATACTCGGCCAGCAGATCCTTGGACAGGCGACTGCCCGAGCCCCCCATAGCCGCGCCGCGCGCAACGCTCCGCCAACTCGCCTCGAGACGCCGACAACTTTCTCACTTCCGCCTTTGGGCCGCGTCTCAGCCCGGTCCCCGCGGCAACCGCTCCAGGGGCCACCGCCCCCGCCTAAACGCGCCCAGGCGCTCCTAGCCGGGTTGGCAGGCGAGCTCCCCGCTCCGGGCGGTCCCAGGCGAGCTGGGGGCGGGGTAAGGGGCGGGGCCTGATGCCCCGGGGCAGAGCCCAGGCCTCACGGCCCCGCCTCCGGGGTGGGCGGGACGAGCCACACCGCGCGCATGCGTGCTGGCTGCGCATGCGTCACGGGCGTCGCTTCCTGGCAGCGGTCCCTGCAGCCGCTGCCGGGAAGGTCGCGCGGTGTATCCTCCTCGGCTGCTGTAGGTGGTGGCGGCGGCAGCCCTGGGTGGAGTCCCATAGGGGCATCTGAGAAGTCACTAGAGCTGACGTTTACAGGAAACCTGGAGACTCGCTGAGTGGCCGGGGTCTTCGGCTGCCCCTCTGCCCAGCAAGGATTTTCTAGACGTTATCAGGCAATCGAGGCACCTGTCGCAGCCCCCAAGCCGCCTCTTCCAGAAGTAACCCGAACCTTGCTTCCTTCTGAGGCTATTTACTGAGGACCTACTGGATGTCAAGCAGTGTGCATAGTTTTCTTCGACTGCAAGGTAGGTATCCATTTTACAAAGGTGGAAATACGTAAGTCCAGAGGGATTTAGTGATGTGTCCGGGCTCCGGCGTTTAGAAAGTGATTGATCCAGTCCAAGGCACTTGTCTTCTTTTTTTTGGAGACACAGTCTCCCTCTGTCGCCAGGCTCCAGGCTGGAGGGCAATGGCGGGATCTTGGCTGCCTCCTGGGTTCAAGCAGTTCTCCTGCCTCAGCCTCCCAAGTAGCTGGGACTACAGGCGCGCGCCACCATGCCCAGCTAATTTTTGTATTTTAGTGGAGACGGGGTTTCACCCTGTTGGCCAGGGTGGTCTCCATCTCTTGACCTCGTGATCCGCCTGCCTCGGCCTCCCAAAGTGCTGGGAGGCCTGTAGGCGTGAGCCACCGCGCCCGGCTCCAAGGCACTTTTCAAGGCTCTCCACTGCTGTTTGCATCATTCCAGCTGACATGCCATCCTTTGACCCCATCCCACCCCTAGACTGTATGCCCTAGGCTATAGAGATCAAAGCTGACCCTTTTGCTCTGGTCCCCTCTTAACCTCTAGGACAATGCTTGGCACATAGTACGTTCTCGGTAAATATTATCAAATGCATAATGAATGAATGAACGTATTCTACTGCAAAAGGTAAGGACGCCAAACTGCTGGGAGGTGGAAGTGGAGGTTGTGTTGGTCAGGCTGGGATTAACTCTTGATCCTTTCAATCCATTATAGTTGCTCATCTTTGTAAAGTCTAAATCTGAGTGTGTCATTCTCAGCTTATAACCATTAAATGGTTAACCCAAATCCTGGCCCTCTGTAACCGAACTTCCTCCTATTTGCTCTCTGTGTTTCAGCCGTTATGGGCTCTGAGTCCCTCTTCCATCTTATTCTCGGGGAAGCTTTTCCTGACTCTCTAGACTGGCTAGGAATCTACTTTGCACTTGAAGAATATCCAGTGCTTCTCCTTGGCAGCATGTGTCTAGTAAGACCCATTGTGTTAACACATGCATTCCATCATTGTAGAAATATTCAAGGCCGGGCGTGGTGGCTCATGCCTGTAATCTCAGCACTTTGGGAGGCCAAGGCGAGTGGATCACTTGAGTCCAGGAGTTTGAGACCACCATGACCAACGTGGCAAGACCCTGTCTCTACTAAAAATGTAAAAATTACCCAGGTGTGGTGGCACACAACTGTAATTACAGCTACCCAGCAGGCTGAGGCACCAGGATCCCTTGAATCTAGGAGGCAGAGGTTGCAGTGAGCTGAGATTGTGCCACTGAACTTCAGCCTGGGCAACAGAGTGACTCTGTCTCAAAAAAAAAAAAAAAAGATAACTAGATTGTAGGGCCATCCCAACATGATCATTTTTCTGTTAATAGCAGGTATTTCAGTCCAAGAAAGAGTTGGTCTTGTCATTAAAAGCTTAGGCAAAAAGCAGGAAGCTGTCATTATGTCTCCTGTACTGCACTTCCTTAAGAATAGGGACCTTGTTGGTCTCTTACAAGCCAAGGTGAATACCTGCACTACATGGTAGTACCTCTGTATAGTGAAGACAAGAGAATCAGCTTAGTGCCTGGTGACTAGCTGTGATCTAGATATCTCAACCACCTCACTGGGCTCTTAATCCTTCAGGGAACAACCTTCTGGTTTTCATTTTGCTTCCTGATAGGTTTTGTACACTGACCAGCCAGCAAGAACCTTTTGTGCCATTTGGCACATTTCTTATCGTAAATTGTTAAATAGGCAGTCTGAATCATCTGGCGGTCCTTGGTGAATCTGGTTAGCATATTGTCCCTCTCGTACCTGATCAACTCTTGATACAGTGGTAAAACCGAGCTGTTGGGGCCGGGCGCGGTGGCTCACGCCTATAATCCCAGCACTTTGGGAGGCTGAGGCGGTTGGATCACGAGGTCAAGAGAGCGAAACCATCCTGGTCAACAAGGTGAAACCCTGTCTCTACTAAAAATACAAAAATTAGCTGGGCATGGTGGCGCGTGCCTGTAGTCCCAGCTACTCGGGAGGCTGAGGCAGGAGAATTGCCTGAACCCAGGAGGCGTAGGTTGCGGTGAGCCGAGATCGCGCCATTGCACTCCAGCCTGGGTAACAAGAACGAAACTCCGTCTCAAAAAAAAAAACTCCGAGCTGCTGATATATTTTTATTTTTTATTTTGTTTATTCATTTTACTTTATTTTTTTAGATAGAGTCTTACTCTGTCACCTGGTCTGGAGTGTAGTGATGTGATCTTGGCTCATGGTAACATCCACCTCCCGGGTTCAAGCTATTCTTCAGACTCAGCCTCCCTAGTAGCTGAGATTACAGGCATGCACCACCGGGTCTGGCTAATTTTTGTATTTTTAGTAGAAACGGTGTTTCATCATATTGGCCAGGCTGATCTCAAACTCCTAACCTCAGGTGATCCATCTGCCTTAGCCTCCCAAAGTGCTGGGATTACAGGCGTAAGCCACCACGCCTGACCTGTTTTTTTTAAACAGAGTCTCGGAATTCTGTCACCCAGGCTGGAATGCAATGGTGCATTCTCAGCTCACTGCAACTTCTGTCTCCTGGGTTCAAGCAATTCTCCTTTCTCAGCCCTTCCCCCCCCCCCCCCAGCAGGGATTACAGGTGGCCGCTACCACACCTGGCTAATTTTTTTATATTTTTAGTAGAGATGTGGTTTCACCATATTGGCCAGGCTTGTCTCAAATGTACCATCTTCACCTCCCAAAGTGCTGGGATTACAGGTGTGAGCCATCGCACCCAGCCCTCACTGTGATTTTGATTTGTATTTCCTTATTGATTCATGATGTTAAACATCCCAAATGTGCTTGTTGGCCATCTTTATATCTTGTTTGAAAACATGTCTAAGATTCTTTTTTTTTTTCCTCCTTCTTTTGGTTTTGTTTTATTTTTATTATCTCATTTTAAATTTTTTTACCTGTCAGGTAAGACTTTCTTTTGGTAGAATAAGATACTACATTTTGGTACTGAGGTTGGGATAATTTTTTTTAAAAAGATATTACATTAGCCAGGCCTGGTGGCATGTGCCTGTGGTCTCAGCTACTCAGGAGGCTCAGACAGATGGATCACTTGAGCCTGGGAGGCAGATGGAACGCTTAAGCCTGGGAGGCGGACATTGCAGTGAGCTGAGAATAAGATATTACATATTATCAGCCAAATTATGCTTAGCTTCACTTTTTTTTGTCTTTTACCTTGCAGCTTCAGCTCAAAGGATTAGCTTCACTTTTAAAAAAAAACACTTTTGGCCAGGCACAGTGGCTCATACCTGTAATCCCAGCACTTTGGGAGGCCAAGGCAGGCAGATCACCTGAGGTTGGGAGTTTTGAGACTAGCCTGGCCAACATGGCGAAACATCATCTCTCCTAAAAATACAAAAATTAGCTGGGCCTAGTGGCACGCACCTGTAGTTGCAGCTACTCAGGAGGCCGAGGTGTGAAAGTCACTCAGGTCGGGGAGGTTGCTGTGAGCCAAGATCGTGCTACTACACTACAGGCTGGCTAACAGAGCAAGACTCTGTCTTTAAAAAAAAAATTGACCCGCTTAACCATGTCTGTGTACAGTAGCTTTAGGCACATTCACGATGTTGTGCAGAGAAAACTCCAGAATGTTTTCATCTTGCAAACTAAGGCTCAATACACATTAAACTTAGCTTGACTTTTGATATGTAATTTTTTATATGTTTTCTGTGCCCTTTCTGTTTTAGTAACATGAAGTTTCTGGATGAGCTGAGCTGACAGGACCCAAGCTTGGACTGAAGTGACTCTCTTGAGGTAACGCTCCTTTCGACATCCCGTCTGGGCCAGCAGTAGGCCCCTCTCCGTGATACTGCTGGGCCCAGGCTCCAGGAGGCCAGGAGAAGATGAAGGGAGCCAGTAATTTTTCCTTGAAGGGTTGGCCCTGGGCACTGACACACACATTGGTGCCATCCTCACCCAAATGTTTCCATGCATGACCAATTGGAATCACTATAGAACATGAAAAAGCTTTTCCCACAAAAGTGGTTATCTTTGAAACCCTGACCACCCTCCTACACTGGAAATCAGGTATGGTGTTCTGGAGGGCAGTTTGATGGTGTATTTCTAAAACCTGAGCCGTGGGAGTTTGAGACCACCTGAACAGCATAGTGAGGCCCTGTCTGTACCAAGTTTTTGTCAAACAAAAACCTGAGCTGTGGACCTACTCTGACCCAGTGGTTTACTAGGATTTTATTGTAAAGGAAAATGAAAACATTATGTGTTCAATCATTCGTATATGAGTGTGTAGGATGTTTATTGCCACATTGTATATAATAGAATGAAACTAGCTATAACCTATATAAACAACAGTTGAAGATTGGTTAAAAAGTCAAGATCTGACAGGGTGCAATAGCTCACGCCTGTAATCCCAGCACTTTGGGAGGCTGAGGTGTTCAGATTTCCTGAGCTCAGGAGTTCGAGATCAGCCTGGGCAACACCGTGAAAGACCGTCTCTAGTAAAATACAAAAAATTAGCCGGGCGTGGCAGCATGCGCCTGTAGGCCCAGCTACTCAGGAGGCAGGAGAATTGCATGAACCCAGGAGGCAGAGGTTGCAGTGAGCAGAGATTGCGCCATTGCACTCCAGCCTGGCAAGAGAGCAAGACTCCATCTCAAAAAAAAAAAAAAGGCAAGATCCAGCTCTGTATGAAAACGAAGGAGGCTGGGTGGGTGGCTCACGCCTCAAATCCCAGCTCTTTGGGAGGTGAAGGCAGGCAGATCACCTGAGGTGAGGAGTTGGAGACCAGCCTGGCCAACATGGAAAAACCCCGTCTGTACTAAAAATACAAAAAATTAGCCTGTCGTGGTGGTACATGCCTGTAATCCCAACTACTCTGGAGGCTGAGGCAGGAGAACTGCTTGAACTTGGGAGACGGAGGTTGCAGTGAGCCAATGTCACACCATTACACTCCAAACTGGGCAACAAGAGTGAAACTTCGTGTCAAAAAAAAGCGAAACATAAATTATGATCTTTCCTTAGGCATTGTAACAAAGGGTTATATTTTATCTTTTTTCTCTATTAAAAAAGTTGACTCAGCCAGGCGCAGTGGCTCACCCCTGTAATCCCAGCACTTTAGGAGGCCAAGGTGGGTGGATCATGAGGTCAACAGACCATCCTGGCCAACATGGTGAAATCCCTTCTCTACTAAAAATTAAAAAAATTAGCTGGGTGTGGTAGTGTAATCCTAGGTGCTAGGGAGTCTGAGGTGGGAACTTGAACCCAGGAGGCAGAGGTTGAGCGGAAATCACTACCACTGCACTCCAGCCTTTGCAACAGTGAAATTCCATCTCAAATAAATAAATAAATAAAATAAAGTTAAAATCTCTGGAAGTGAGTTACCATCATGTATTTTTCACCTTTTATGATTATTTCAGGTCAGCTCTATGGCTCTTCCACATGATTCAAACGAAACTTCCTATTTGCTACCTCCAAGCAAGGAGGACTGGGAAAGGCAAGCCATTCCTGATTTTGTTTATGGGCAGAAGGATCTCACGGCAGAAGGGGTTCAGTGGCCAAGGAATGCACCTGGCACCCTGCATGCTCTGCCTCAGTCTCCCTTCGATGCTGCACTCTGCTCTGCCTGGAGGCAGCGGATGGAGCTGGGGCTGTTTCGCTACCGCCTGAGGGATCTACAGACCCAAATCCTCCCTGGTGTTGTGGGTTTCGTGGCTCAGCTGAATGTGGAGCGCAGTGTGCAGAGGAGGCGTCCGCAGCCCATCAGGAGCGTGAGGCAGGCATTTGACCCTGAGCAGTTCAACTTCAACAAGATCCAGCCGGGAGAAGTCCTTTTCTGTTTGCGCCGGGAGCCTGATCTCCCGGGGACGCTCCTGCAAGAAGACATCCTCGTGGTGATCAATGTCAGCCCCCTGGAGTGGGGCCACGTGCTGCTGGTGCCTGAGCCTGCCCGGGGCCTCCCCCAGCGCCTGCTGCGGGGTGCACTGAGGATGGGGGTTGAGGCTGTACTGCTGAGCTTACACCCAGGCTTCCGTGTCGGCTTCAACAGCCTGGGAGGCTTGGCTTCGGTGAACCACCTCCACCTGCATGGCTATTATCTGGCCCACAGACTACCTGTGGAGCATGCGCCAAGTGCGCCCCTGGACCGTGGAGGCCGTTTGCATCTGCTCCAGGGCCTCCCCGCTCCCGGCTTCCTCTTTTACTCTCCCCAGCCAGGGCCTGACTTGGAGGCCTTGATAAGTAGGGTATGTCGGGCCACTGATTATCTCACTGACCATGAGATTGCACATAACTTGTTTGTGACCCGGGGAGCTCCGCCAGGAAAGACATCACCTTCCTCAGCCCTCACAGGGGTCCGAGTCATTCTGTGGGCCCGGAAGTCCAGCTTTGGGATAAAGGAATGTGAGGCCTTCAATGTTGCCCTCTGTGAGCTAGCTGGGCACCTCCCTGTCAAAACCTCCCAGGACTTCAGTAGCCTGACAGAGGCAGCAGCTGTGGCCCTCATTCAGGACTGTCTGCTGCCCCCAGCCCAGGCAGAAGAGGTCCAGGCTGCACTGGTGGCCCTGATGGCCCAGGAAGAGCAATAATACTTCTGGATATATTTACGTTCTTTTTTTCTTTTCTTTTGAGACAGAGTCTCACTCCCTTGCCCAGGCTGGAGTGCAGTAGAACAATCTCAGCTCATTGCAACCTCTGCCTCTTGGGTTCAAGCGATTCCCCTGCTTCGGCCTCCTGAATAGCTTGAATTACAGGCGCATGCCACCACACCCAGCTAATTTTTGTATTTTTAGTAGAGATGCAGTTTCACCATGTTGGCCAGGCTGGTCTCAAACGCCTGACCTTGTGATCTGCACCCCACCTCGGCCTCCCAAAATTTTTTTGCTTTTTTTTTTAAAATGACTAGGTGATTTTGTATTTTTTCATAGAGAGAAGGTTTCGCCATGTTGCCCAGGCTGGTCTTGAACTCTTGGGCTCACGCAGTCCTCCCACCTTGGCCTCCCAAAGTGCTGAGATGACAGGAGTGAGCCCCTGCGCCTAGCCTGGATGTATTTCTTTTATTTCTTTCTTTTTTTTTTTTTTGAGACGGAATCTTGCTCTGTCACGCAGGCTGGAGTACAGTGGCACAATCTCAGCTCACTGCAGCCTCCGCCTCCAGGGTTCAAGTGATTCCTGCCTTAGCCTCCGAAGTAGCTGAGACTACAGGTGCCCACCACCACGCCCAGCTAATTGTTTTGTATTTTTAGTAGAGAAAGGGTTTCACCATGTTGGCTAGGCTGGTCTCGAACTCCTGACCTCAGGTGATCCACCCGCCTTGGCCTCCCAAAGTGCTGGGATTACAGGAGTAAGCCACCACACCCAGCCTGGATGTGTTCATTCTCTACCTGATAAGTCCCTTTCCAGAGCACTGCCCATCATGGTCATTTGAGCATTTATTTTCATGGCTGCCTTCTCACCTATCTCAGCCTAAGAAGGATAAAGAAAGCTGAGTCTCTTTAAAGGGGAAAAAGCCTGGAATAAATCTACTGAATAAGGCTTCATGGATGTATCTGCTGCCTCTCCCCATTCTTGGTCATGCCCCACGGGTATTAAAAAAGGAGTTACACAGTCCTGACTTTATATTTGGACTCTGTCTTCCTTTGATATCAAATGTTAGCAAGGTGATAGCGCATGTGCCTCCAGCGTTGAGCTGCTATTCTGTTCTCAGCCTCTCTGTTATTCCCCTTTGCTCACCACTATTTTTATTTCTTCATCCCTTCTTTACACTTAACCCTGCTCCATCCAGATGCCCCACTTCTTCACTTTCCCGGCCACCCTGAGCTTTGAACGATACCTGACACCGAGTTGAATGCTCTTCACTGATGTCATCTGATGACAGTCTCACTCTGTCGCCCAAGCCAGAGTGCAGTGGTGCAATCTGAGCTCACTGCAACCTCAGCCTCCCAAGTAGCTGGGACTACAGGCGTGTGCCACCATGCCTGGCTAATTTTTTGTATTTTTAGTAGAGACAGGGTTTCACTGTGTTAGCCAGGATGGTCTCAATCTCCTGACCTCATGATCTGCCTGCCTTGGCCTTTTTTTTTTTTTTGAGGCTGAGTCTTGCACTATTGCCCAGGCTGGAGTGCAATAGTATGATTTTGGCTCACTGCAACCCCTGCCTCCTGGGTTCAAGCAATTCTCATGCCTCAGCCTCTGAGTAGATAGGATTACAGGTGCTTGCCACAATGCCCGGCTAATATTTGTATTTTCAGTAGAGATGGGGTTTCACCATGTTGGCAGGCTGGTCCCAAACTCCTGACCTCAAGTGATCCACCTGCCTTGGCCTCCCAAGGTGCTAGGATTACAGGTGTGAGCCACTGCACCCAGCCAACCCAAGACTTTTAACTTCTGCTGTCTAACAGTCAAGGGAGCTCAAAGGAAAATGGGATTTCACACACACACATACTAGAGTGTCTACTGACTGGTTCCTCTGGAGCCAATATGGAAATTTCTAGAGTAACAGAGCAGGACAATAACTATGGCTTCCAGTGTTTTGATGAAACCTCAGATGCATGACCTCTGGTTTCATATTGCTGTATCCCTGTATAGAGGGTTGGAGCCCTCTATACATTTGCTGTGACTGAACCAAGAAAGAAGGGATATGCAGATTTCTAGAGAAATTGTGATTCCATGAAAGATATTTTTGTTTTTTTAATATGAGTTCTCTGTCACCCATGCTGGAGTGCAGTGGCATAATCGCTGCAGCCTCTTAACTCCCATGTTCAAGAGATCCTCCCACCTCAGCCTTCCTAGTAGGTGGGGCTACAGGGCCAGCCACCTAGCCTGGCTGATTCTATGAAAGATTTTGAGGAGATGATGAGGAAGGCTGGTATCTTTCAGAGTACAAAGTGATTTTGGAATGTAAACAATTTATTTGGGTTGAATTTCATAGAAGTTTATCACTAACCTGTGTTCCTCAACTATGAAACATGAATGTGGGCAAAGAAATAGTTTCTCTTGATAAATGGACAACAACAAAAACAAAGTCTGTGAGTCAGAGAACGTCCATGCCTTTTTAGACCAGGCACAGTGGTTCAGGCCTGTAATCCCAGCACTTTGGGAAGCCGAGGTGGGCAGGTCACTTGAGGCCAGGAGTTCAAGATTAGCCTGGCCAACTTGGCAAAACCCTGTCACTACAGAAAATACAAAAATGAAGCAGGCATGGTGGTGCGCACCTGTAGCCACAGCTACTTTGGAGGCTGAAGTGGGAGGATTGCTTGAGCCGGGGAGGCTAACTAAGGTTGCAGTGAGCTGTTATCACACCACTGCACTCCAGCGGGGGCTACAAAGCAAGACCCTGTCTCACAAAAAAAAAAAAGAAAAGAAAACATCCATGTCTTTTTAAAAGGATGGAAAAAGTTTAAGTGTTGTCTAGATTTAGCCACACATTATAATCTTAGGGTGACAAGTTGAGCTGAGTTGGGTGGAGGTCAGGAAGAGCAAGTGACAGAAAGGGGCACTGTGATTGGGCGGTTTTGTTATTCCTTAGTTAATGATGCCGTCTCAGTCCACCAGAGGGAAAGCCTTTAAAGGGACATGGCCAGCCGGGCACGGTGGCTCACGCCTGTAATACCAGCACTTTGAGAGGCTGAGGCAGGTGGATCATGAAGTCAAGAGTTCAAGACTGGCCTGGCCAAGATGGTGAAACCCTGTCTCTACTAAAAATACAAAAATTAGCTGGGTGTGGTGGCGGGTGCCTGTAATCCCAGCTACTCGGGAGGCTGAGGCAGAGAATTGCTTGAATGTGGGATGTGGAGGTTGCATCCTGGCCAGCCAAGATCCAACACTGCATTCCAACCTGGTGACCAAGCAAGACTGTCTCAAAAAAAAAAAAAAAAAAAAAAAAGGCTGGGCGCGGTGGCTCACGCCTGTAATCCCAGCACTTTGGGAGGCCAAGGTGGGTGTACCACGAGGTCAAGAGATTGAGACCATCCTGGTCAACATGGTGAAACCCCGTTTCTACTAAAAATACAAAAAATTAGCTGGGCACGGTGGTGCGTGCCTGTAATCCCAGCTACTCAGTTGGCTGAGGCAGGAGAATTGCCTGAACCCAGAAGGCGGAGGTTGCGGTGAGCCGAGATTGCGCCATTGCACTCTAGCCTGGGTAACAAGAGCGAAACTCCATCTCAAAAAAAAAGGCACGTTGCTTTTCCACGGGTGTCACTCTTGAATGCATAGACTGTGCTAGCTAAACTTTGAGTTACTGAAGAATTGAGCCTGGCGTGGTGGCGCACTCCTGTAGTCACAGCTACTGGGGAGGTTGAGGCAGGAGGATTGCTGAGCTCAGGAGGTCCAGGCTGCAGTGAGCTATGATGGCGTATTCCACTGCAGTCCAGCCTGGGCGACGCAGCAAGACCCCCGTCTCAGAAAAAAAAAAAAAGAATTGAGGAACGGCAAATAGCTATTTGTCCTGAATATATGCTTGACCAAATTCTTTGGCCCGGGGCTTAGGAAAAGATGGGAGTGCAGTGAGAACCAGCTCAGCAGGAAGCCTGCAAGCCCCTTGATGCACTGGAGGAATCTGGCCTCGAGGCCGGCCAGCCCCAAAGGGTAAACGCTATTGGCCCCCTCCAAGTAGGTGCGTCTGCAGGAAGGCCCCGCCCCCAGAACGCTCTCCAGTGAGTGCGGCCCTAGTGTCTATGCCGCCCGCGGCGGTTGCGAAACCGCGGCGGGGTTAAGTAGCTGTTGCCCCTGCCGCCAAGGCAGCCTGGATCTTGGAGCTAGGAGTGAACCCCTGCGGGGGAGCGGGTTCCCCCTCGCGATCGTGGGGACAGCCAGTCCTGTGAAACGAGGAGGCGGTTCCGGACGCCCAGAAACGCCCAGGGAGAACTGGAGCCAGGAGAAGAGGGACATGAGCCCTCAGCTGAGTCCAGCTCCAGGCCGCTAGGGGAGGACCCAGCAGCCCCTCCGCTCTCCCCCGAACCACGAGTGGGCAGTCTCCGCCGTCACAGCCCAAGGGGTCTAAGCCATCGGTGCCTGGCCGGTGTGTACAAGTGCGGAAAATTGAGTCCTGGTCAGCCTAGGGGGCCTTTGGTCTTCATCTGTATTATATTTTATTTATTTGTTGAGACAGAGTCTCCCTCTGTCACCCAGGCTGGTGTGCAGTGGTGTGCTCTAGGCTCATTGCAACCTCCATCTCCCAGGTTCATGTGATTCTCCTGCCTCTGCCTCCCGAATAGAGTAGCTGGGACTACAGGCAGCATTACTACCACGCCCGGTTAATTTTTGTATTTTCAGTAGAGATGGGGTTTCACCATGTTGGTCAGCCTGGTCTCGAACTCCTGACTTCAAGTGATTCACCCTTCTCGGCCTCCCAACATGCTGAGATTATAGGCATGAACTACTGTGCCCCACCTTCAGCTGTATTTTAAAGCGATGGTGCCCCCAGCGCTCCCAGCCATCCTCCTTCCCAATCAGGAACAAAAGAGCTATGTTCATGGCCAGTACCAACTGTGTCCAGCTCCTGAAAGCACCCCTGTGCGTTGTATGACCCAGTGTGATCCTGGATGATTGGGGCTTATCATCAAGGAATCCACAACACTGGCATCTTCCACCCCCACGCACCTCACCTACCTGGATACATCGCATTCCACAGTGAGACTGTTGTGTCCTGAAGGGACAGCAACATTCCCTTGTAACAGCAGGAAGTTCATTCCACCGGTGGAATGACCTTCCAGGGCCTGAGGGAGGTCTGATATACACTTCATTCCCCACCCTCCTCAGAATCTGAGAGGATGGAGCCCAGTACCTGTAGGACCACCGAATCAGAGGAACACTATGTTGAGGAAAAGGAATGTGAGAAGTGTGTGAAAGAGGAAGCTACCATCCCCTCTACCTCTTCACAGCAGCCTCTCTTAAAAGCTGACTATAAGACCTTCAAAAATGGGGTTCCCTTACCCATTATAGCCACAAAAATTCCGAAGAAAGTCATAGCCCCAATTGACACAGGCAACTTAGAAGCTGGGAGGAGGACAAGAAGGCGGAAACGCAGGTAACCATTTCCTGGATCCCCTCCCTGCCCAGCTCCAGGGAGTCACCCACTGGCCTCCCTTCAGCATGTGGGGGAGCTGGGATCTAAGGTCTTCCCTTTAGCCTGTAAAAGAGGACAGGAAAGGCTGGAGCATCATTAATCCTTTGATACAACAAAAACAAAATTCAGAACCACTGAGGCTGACTCATTTTGGAATCCCAGCCTGTTGCTATCATCCTGGTCTTTACTTCAAGTGGCGTCTAGAGAAGAGTAACTGGGGTGTGAATTTGTTGCATGTCTGTCCTTCCTTCCCACCCTGCCTGATTTATGCTATTCCTGCATTCCAGATCCCTGACCATCAACCTGACCAACTGCAAGTATGAGAGCGGTAAGCACCCGGCCCATCGCTCACACTGGTGTCTAAGAGGGCACCTGCAGCTGCTGTTCTTCCTCTGGAACGGACCTCCAAGCAGGCTTCCAGCCCCTGGGGCCTGGCAGGCTTGCCTAGAACCTGCACTGAACTTCCTAGGTGTCCTCTGCCTCAGATGCTGGCAGCTGAGACATTGCTGTTCCAGGTAGTCTCAGTGTTAGGGAGGGTATCTCTACAGTTAGCAAACAAGAAAAGAAAATGTCCAAGCGCCACTGCCCTACCCTTCCCAGATTTTATTCATTTATTTTTGAGACAGAATGTTGCTTTGTCATCCAGGCTGGAGTGCAGTATTGTGACCATAGCTTACTGCAGCCTTGAACCCCTAAGCTCAAACCATCATCCTACCTCAGCCTCCCAGTAGCTGGGACTACAGGCCTGCACCACTATGCCCAGCTAATTCCTATTTTGTTTTCCTTGAGATGAAGTTTTACTCTTGTTGCCCAGGCTGGAGTGTAATGAGGTGGTCTCAGCTCACTGCAACCTTCACCTCCCAGGTTCAAGCGATTCTCCTGCCTCATCCTCCTTAGTAGCTGGGATTACAGGCAGGTGCCACCACATCCAGCTAATTCTATATTTTTAGTAGAGACAGTTTCTCCGTGTTGGCCAGGCTGGTCTTGAACTCCTGACCTCAGGTGATCCACCTGCCTCGGCCTCCCAAAGTGCTGGGATTACAGGCATGAGCTACCACGCCCAGCCTGCCCAGCTAATTCTAAGATTTTTTTTGTAGAGACAGTCTGGCTATGTTGCCTGACACTGGTCTTGAACTCCAGGGTTCCAGCGTTCCTCCCACTTTGGCCTCTCAATGCCCTTGGCTAACAGGCATGAGCCACCATGCCATCCCCTTTGGCAGATTAATTTACCAGAGATGAAACAAGGTTAAAACAGTTTTTTTTTTCTTTTCTTTTCTTTTTTTGTTTTTAATTCACATACATCTTCTCCATATTCTTTATTTTCAAACATATGTATGCAATCATTCACAATGGTCAGTAGTATTTCTTGATTATGATCAGTGCATTTCCGGATGCATTGATGAAGAAGAAACTGAGGAAGTAGTTTCTGTTGGTTAGCTGGAAGTGATTGAAATTGTCTTTCTGTTCGGTTCACTCACGTGCATACTGGTGCCTTAGTAGCGGAAGGCATTAATGATCTTCCAGAAGTGCTCCCGCTCAAGCCTCTCCTCCTCCTAGGTGCTGCGCGTGGCCGCGGCCGCCAAAACCGCCACGGCCAAGCCCCAACGCCCAGCACCGCCCCCTCCCCCGCTGCCCAAGGCTGGCGGCGGAGAGCGCCGCTGTCGCTGCATCGCCGCCGCAGCCCTCCGCCTGGCTCGCTTGCGTCTCGCTGTGACCGACTGCGTGGTGGCAGCAGCTTGGCCTTCTTTTTTTTTTTTTTTTAAGTTGGGGTTTCACCATGATGGCCAGGCTGGTCTTGAACTCCTGACCTCAGGTGATCCACCCACCACGGCCTCCCAAAGTGCTGGGATTACAGGTCTGAGCCACCACACCCAGCCAAAACAGTTTTTTCAAGGACAGTCTGAAGGGGCTTCAGCAATTAAGAAAAAAAAAAAATGGCCTGTCCTTCCCCTAATAGTCCATCTGTCATCTGTGTAAGGGGCCATCCCAAATGTGGAGTGTGAAGTGCCAGTGTGATCCCCTACCTATAGGCAGCTCTCCAAGCCATAAACAGCCCTAAGTGAGAAAGAAGACTGACAGGAGCAGCCGGGCACAGTGGCCCACGCCTGTCATCCTGGCGCTTTGGGAGGCCAAGGCGGGTGAATCTCCTGAGATCAGGATTTCAAGATCCAGCCTGGCCAACATGGTGAAACCCCATCTCTACTAAAGGTACAAAAATTAGCCAGTCGTGGTGGTGCCCCCTTGTAATCCCAGCTACTCAGGAGGCTGAGTCACGAGAATTGCTAGAACCCGGGAGGCAGAGGTTGCAGTGAGCTGAGACCACACCATTGCACTTTTGCCTGGGCAACAAGAGTGAGACTGTGTCTCAAAAACAAACCAAAAATGAAAGAACCAGGCTCTAGTTTTCTCTGCCAGATATTTTCGAAGGGCCCTGACAGCCCCCAAGAACTTGAAATTGCCATGTGGTCACCGAAGTCAGAGCTGAGGCGAGAACTACCTCCATCTTCAGCCTGCCCTCGGGTCAGGTGTGTGCCTTAGCTGATCCAGCTCCACAGCTCCAGGGCTTGCTGCTGCTGTACGTGCTGGCACCACTGATCTCCCTGTCTCTGCAGTGCGTCGGGCAGCCCACATGTGTGGCCTGAAGGAGGTGGGGGAGGAGGAAGAATGGACTGTGTACTGGACAGACTGCGCTGTCTCGCTGGACCAAGTCATGAAAATGAAGAGGTTTCAGGTACCAGTCTCCTGGCCTAAGAGCCTACAGGACTATCGTCCCAGAATGACTATTCCCATCTCCTTGCCCAGATACCCAAGACTGCTTCTCTTTGTGGCTGCCCCCCTGTGCAGACAGGAAAGACCCCCCCCCCAACCAGGGTCTTCTTTTGCCATGGAAAGATCTCTTAGGTCTCTGGAATTACCCAAAGGAAGTGTCTGGTGGGCACATCCTGTCCCATTATTTGCACTTTGCTTGATGGCATCTGTAGGTAACTGGCCCTCTCCTGGGTGGGGAAGCCTATCTTAGGGAGAATACTTCAGAGCTACCAGCAGGGCCAGGTGAATGATCCAGCCTTCTCAGCAACTTAGCTCAGCATTCCACATCCATTAGGAGACCTCGGGATCCAGGTTCAAGCAATTCTCCTGCCTCAGCCTCCTAAGTAGCTGGGATTACAGACACGTGCCAGCATACCCAGCTACTTTTGTATTTTTAGTAGAGACAGGGTTTCTCCATATTGGCCAGGCTGGTCTCAAACTCCTGACCTCAGGTGATCCACTCGCCTCAGCCTCCCAAACTGCTGGGATTACAGGTGTGAGCTACCATGCCCAGCCTGACCATACAAAAATTAGAAGGGAGTACAGGGTCTGTACAACAGACCCTGTGTTAAGTGCTTTCATATTATTACCGCATTAAATCCTCAAGAACAGCCCTGAGCAGCAAATATCCCTTGGTTAGGACATGGAGGGTCAGAAGTACTCAGTTCATACAGTGAGTGCAGCCAGTGATTGGGAAAGCCAGTAGTCTCAGTGTTAGGGAGGGTATCTAAGAAAGCACTTAGCAGACTGGGCGTGGTGGCTCAAGCCTGTAATCCCAGCATTTTGGAAGGCCAAGGCAGGTGGTTCACCTGAGATCGGGAGTTCAAGACCAGCCTGACCAACATGGAGAAACCCCATCTCTACTAAAAATACAAAATTATCCAGGCATGGTGGTGCATGCCTGTAATCCCAGCTACTCAGGATGTTGAGACAGGAGAATCGCTTGAACCTAGGAGGCAGAGGTTGCAGTGAGCCAAGATTGTGCCACTGCACTCCAGCCTGGGCAACAAGAACGAAACTCCATCTCAAAAAAAAAAAAGTGAGCACTTAACCTACTCTTTGTGACTGTCCCCCTGTGCAGATGGGAAAGACCACCCCCAGGGTATTCTTTTCCAGTGGAAGGATTCTCCTCTTTTGTCTCTGGATTACCTGAAGGAAATGTCTGGTGGGCACATCCTATCTCATTATGTGCTCTTTGCTTGGTGGCATCTCAGATGCTGCCTCCTATCCAACAGGACAGAGCAGCCAGGAGTTTCTGGCAGGCACCAGGGCGATGCCACACCCTCTCTGGGTGCCATGGCACCACGGTACCACATTCCTTGAGGCTGGTTCTTAGTTTCCTTTTCTCGTTTGTGTCTTTTGGGAAGTGCTTTGGTCTCATTGCCCGCTTTGTGGTATGGAGCAGCAGCTAATGGTTTAGAACTAGGCCTGGTGGGCTGAGGGATGTTGGAAGGTGGCTGGAAGGCCCACAGTCTTGGCTGGTACATCCCTCCTTGCTGCCCCTCATTTGCTGAGCTTGGTGTGGGCGTGTGTGTCGGGTACAGGCCACGGAGGGGTTGCTCACCTACCTTAGGGAATCTTCCTATTTTTGCCTTGGGGTCCTTTTTTTGGGGGGGGCGGGGGAGACGGAGTTTCGCTCTTGTTACCCAGACTGTAGTGCAATGGCACAATCTCGGCTCACCGCAACCTCCGCCTCCTGGGTTCAAGCAATTCTCCTGCCTCAGCCTCCCGAGTAGCTAGGACTATAGGCGCACACCACCATGCCCAGCTGATTTTTGTATTTTTAGTAGAGACGGGGTTTCACCTCGTTGACCAGGATGGTCTCCATCTCTTGACCTCGTGATCCACCTGCCTCGGCCTCCCAAAGTGCTGGGATTATAGGCATGAGCCACTGTGCCCAGCCTGGCCTTGGGGTTCTTGGTGCAGTGCTTACCTCCACTGTGCTTCTCCCTTCACCTTCCCAATCCTCCTCTAGGAACTTTCACTTACTCTGGGGCTAGTATAACTAACTGGCTGTGTTTCAGAAAATCAACCACTTCCCTGGCATGACAGAAATCTGTCGTAAAGATCTGCTGGCTCGGAACCTCAACCGCATGCACAAACTCTACCCCTCTGAGTACAACATCTTCCCCCGCACCTGGTGCCTCCCCGCAGAGTGAGTGGGCTGCTTCCCATACTGAGATACCACGGGGAGGAAAAGGGATACTCTCAGAGTTCCCTCCAGACTCTGGCCTTGTGACCTAGGAATGTTCAGAGGGATGGAAGTGGAAAAATGGCCAAAGAAAAGAGGGTCTGAGACTGAGTGCTCCACAAAGAGCATGTACTAGATAGCAGGAAGAGCTCCATGGGGCCCCGGGCCAGCCATGATGCACAGAAACCTTTTGACCAGGCCCTCTCTGCACACAGCTATGGGGACTTCCAGACCTACAGTCGTCAGCGAAAAGCCCGCACGTATATCTGCAAGCCAGGCAGTGGCTGTCAGGGACGTGGCATCTTCATCACCCAAAATCCCCGGGAGATCAAGCCAGGAGAGCATATGATCTGCCAGCAATACATCTCCAAGGTGAAGGATGCCTCAGGACCATCAGCCTCCCCCAACCCCCAGCACTGGGCTGCCTCATCTCTCCGGAAGCCAGAGAGGAAGCTGGTTTTAAGCTTCTACCCCTCCCACTAGACCCATTTTCCCGGAGGCAGTATCCAGCAATGGTTCAGAACCAGCCTGCCTGGGGTTGAATCTCAGTTTTCTACTTCCCAGATATGTGACCTGGGCAAGTTTCTTACCCTTTCTGTGCTTCTGTCTCCTCATTTATTTATTTATTTATTTACTTTTTTGAGATGGAGTCAATCTCGGCTCACTGCAACCTCAGCCTTCCAGGTTCAAGTGATTCTCCTGCGCCAGCCTCCTGAGTAGCTGGGATTGCAGGTGCCCCACCACCACACCCAGCTAATTTTTGTTTTTTTTGGTTTTTTTTTTTTTGAGACGGAGTTTCGTTCTTGTTGCCCAGGCTGGAGTGCAATGGCGCCATCTCGGCTCACTACAACCTCTGCCTCCTGGGTTCAGGCAATTCTCCTGCCTCAGCCTCCTGAGTAGCTGGGATTACAGGCACCCGCCACCATGCCCAGCTAATTTTTTGTATTTTTAGTAGAGATGGGGTATCACAATTTTGACCAGGATAGTCTCGATCTCTTGACCTTGTGATCCACCTGCCTCAGCCTCCCAAAGTGCTGGGATTACAGGTGTGAGCCACCATGCCCGGCCTAATTTTTGTATTTTTAGTAGGGATGTGGTTTCACCATCTTGGCCAGGCTGGTCTTAAACTCCTGACCTCGTGATCCACTAGCCTCAGCCTCCCAAAGTGCTGAGATTACAGGTGTGAGCCACTGCACCCGGTCTCTTATCATTTATTAGGTGGGAGTAATAACAGTTAATGTTTTACTTGGTTGTTTTGGAAATTCAACGAGCTGTGTATATGAAGCACATAGTAGGCACTCGAAAAGTGTTGTTATTCCCTCATGGATTTGCGTGCTCCCAGCCCTTCCTCATTGATGGCTTTAAGTTCGATATGCGAACCTACGTCCTGATCACATCCTGTGACCCTCTCCGGATCTTCGTGTATGAGGAAGGCCTGGCCCGTTTTGCCACCACACCCTATGTGAAGCCCAGCCATAACAACCTGGTAAGGGGGCCGGGAAGCACTCTTCCCTTCCACTGCCGTGAGTGCTGAGATTCTCTAGAGAAACACGGTAGAGCCGGGTGTGGCGGCGCGTGCCTGTAGTCCCAGCTACTCGGGAGGCTGAGGCTGGAGGATCGCCTGAGTCCAGGAGATCGGGGCTGCAGTGCGCTGTGCCAATCAGGTGTCCGCACTAAGTTGGGCATCAATATGGTGACCTCCCGGGAGTGGTTGCCTAAGGAGGGGTGAACCAGCCCAGATCGGGGACAGAGCAGGTCAAAACTCCCATGCTGATCAGTAGTGGGATCGTGCCTATGAATAGCCACTGCACTCCAGCCTGGGCAACATAGCAAGAGCCCATCTCTAAAAAAAAATATATATATATATATAGAGAGAGAAACACGGTAGAGAGGTTTGTGACTGTCACCGGTGAACAAGGAATGAAGCCAGAGAGAGCTGCGGCATCTGGCTGGGAGGCGAGCATTTGGTGGGTGGTGACTGAGAAAAGGTCAGCGCTCAGAGGAGTCCAGCTCGCCCTCTTGCCCACAATCTTCCAGAAGAGCTAACCCTATCTCTGGTGGAGAGAGACAGATGAGAGATCCTGGGGAGGAGTAGGGAGTAACAAGGCAATGAAGGGCTGGAGAGGATGGTCACATGCAGACAGTCTGAGACCACAAGGCCTCTCTCTCCACAGGACAATGTCTGCATGCACCTGACCAACTATGCTATCAACAAACACAATGAGAATTTTGTCCGGGATGGCACTGTGAGCAGTAAGAGGTAATCCCTCCTATTTTCTCCTGCTTCTCCGCCCCTTAGCCCCATAGTCCCAGTAGCCCATGAAACCAAGTTGGCTCTTGGGAGGCTAATTGCCCAGGGAAACTCAGCCTTTATAGACCCTGTCCTGCACCTGCACTTTGGAGCAGCACTAAATGCAGCCCCAACCCCACCCTGATACTAGTCCCAATTGCTAGCAGCCCTTCAGAGCCAGGGTGTGCATTTAGGGTTAGTTTGAGGGAGCCTCCTGCCTACAGGTTGGCCCCAGTGGCCTAGAAATTGGCCTTCCTCTGAGCACTAGGCCTCGCAGGAAGCTGTCAACACTCAACATCTGGCTGCAAGAGCACAGCTACAACCCTGGAGAGCTGTGGGGGGACATTGAGGACATCATCATCAAAACCATCATCTCGGCCCATCCTGTTCTTCGCCACAATTACCGAACCTGTTTTCCCCAGTATCTGAGTGGAGGTACATGTGCCTGTTTTGAGATCCTTGGTTTTGACATCTTGCTGGACCACAAGTTGAAGCCTTGGCTGCTAGAGGTGAGGATTATCTCTTAGGCTTTGCAAAACCAATGTCCAGAGGCCTCCTTGAATAGGACACCTGGGCAGGGGTATACTCAGGTGGTGAGACACAGAATGGGAGATGCAGAAGCCCTGGGGTGGGTGGGAATCTTCAGAAGCCATAAGATCTCTACCTTTTTGACCTGCTGAGTCAAATCTTGGTGGTTTCTGGCTTCTACCATAGGAATGCAGGTTTTGGATCCCCAGTGCCCTAATGTAAGCCTTTAGGGACACACTGTCCACAGAGGCAGGCAGGCCGATTTGCTCTCATGGGTCTGTGACTTGGAGGGATGGCTATGGCAGAGTTTTGTGGCCTTGAAAGCATCCAGCCCCTCTGGCTGAGCCCATGTGAGAGGAATATCTTAGACCCTCTAGTTATGCCTGCAGGCAGCCACCACTTGCTCAGGAAGTGGAGGAAAGGAGAGTATAATGACTCCTTCTGGCAGGTAAACCACTCTCCAAGCTTTACCACGGACTCACGCCTTGATCAAGAGGTAAAGGACGCACTTCTCAGCGATGCTATGACCCTTGTCAACCTCCGGGCCTGTGACAAAAGGAAGGTGATGGAGGAAGAGAAGCAGCGAGTCAAGGAGCGGCTTTTCCAGTGCCACCAACAGCCACGAGAATCTAGGTGTGCTAGGCGCCTGGCATGTGTTTAGTTCTTCATGATTACTTCCTGAGAGTAAAAGGCCTTCTTTAGAGGGAGAATGTGGCCTGGGCCTGACTGGCTATTAAAAACAATTTTTTGCATAGATAATACACTCATATTTGCATTAAAAAATCATAGGGCCAGGCTTGGTGGCTCATGCCTTGTAATCCCAGCACTTTGGGAGGCGGAGGTAAGAGGATTGTTTGAGCTCAGGAGTTCAAGGTCAGACTGGGCAATATGTGAGACCCTGTCTCTAAAAAACAAAAAAGAAAGAAAATAATAATAATTAAAAAATAAAAAATTAGCTGGGCATGGTGGCATGCTTGTATTCCCTGCTACTCAGTAGGCTGAGGTGGGAGGGTTATTTGAGCCCAGAACATAAAGGCTGCAGTAAGCCATGTTTGCATCACTGCACTCCAGCCTGGGCAAAAGAATGAGAGACCCTGTCTCAAAAAAAAAAAAAATCAAAACCGGAAGCAGTGGCTCAGGCCTGTAATCCCAGCAATTTGGGAGGCTGAGTCAGGTGGATCACTTGAGGTCAGGAGTTTGAGACCAGCCTGGCCAACATGGTGAAACCCCGTCTCTACTAAGAATACCAAAAAAAAAATCAGCCAGGCATGGTGGTGAGCACCTGTAGTCCCAGCTACTAAGGAGGCTGAGGCATGAGAGTCACTTTAACTCAGGAGGCGGAGGTTGCAGTGAGCCGAGATCATGCCACTGCACTCCAGCCTGGGTAACACAGCAAGACTGTCTCAAAACAAAAACAAACAAAATATCATATATCACAGATATGTTCAAAATGTTAAAAATGCAGAGGATAATCTTCTCCTTCCCTTCTCTAGCTATTCAGTTTTCCTCCCTGGAGCCAACAACATTCCCACTATCATGTGTAGAGGGTATGCATTTAATAGATATATGTATTTATACCAAATATTTTCCCCCCGCCCACGAGACAGGCATAACTTTCACACTGTCTGCACCCTGCTTTGCAGTGTATTTTAGAGCCATTCTCAAATTAGCACATAAGGAGCTTTCTGTGGTTTGATTCGCTGGTTTGTTTTTCTAACAAAGCTCCTTTAGAAACCATTTCCTGAGAAACTTTGTAATGAAGGAACACAGAAAACAGCTGTCATTCAGTAATAGAGAATTGTTTACATCTGTGTCGGTCACCCATTGTTGTTTTCTTTGTAAAATGAGTTACAAACATGGAGATTGGTTACTGATACTAAAACTGTAAATTGTTAATGATACATACAAATGAGTTTGAGTAGATGTCTGCTTATTACTGTGATCACAGTGCTCCTCCCCACTTGCATTCCAATAGTGGGGGCAGTGTGTGTTTGATTTCCCATGAGAGCTGCAGGGCCTGGCCCACCGTAAGGACTCAGATGTCTGCATGATGAATGGGAGTGAAGTAGGATTGTAAATACACTGGCTGTTCCCACAAGACTGGACTGTGTACCTGAGGGTCATAAAATGTGTCTTTTTTTATTTTTTGAGATGGAGTCTCACTCAGCTCACTGCAACCTCCGTCTCCCGGGTTCAAGTGATTCTCCTGCCTCAGTCTCCCAAGTAGCTGGGATTACAGGCATGCACCACCATACCCAGCTAATTGTTTTATTTTATTTTTGAGACAGAGTCTCACTCTGCTGCCCAGGCTGGAGTTGCAGTGGTGCGATCTCAGCTCAGTGCAACCTCCACCTCCTGGGTTCAAGCAATTCTTCTGCCTCAGCCTCCTGAGTAGCTGGGACTACAGGCACATGCCACCACGCCTGGCCAATTTTTGTATTTTTAGTAAAGATGGGATTTCACCATATTGGCCAAGCTTGTGATCCACCTGCCTCAGGCATCTCAAAGTGCTAGGATTACAAGCCACCGCTCCCAGCCAATTGTTGTATTTTTAGTAGAGACGGGGTTTCGCTATGTTTGCCAGGCTGGTCTCAAACTTCTGACCAGGTGATCCACCTGCCTTGGCCTCCCAAAGTGCTGGGATTATAGACATGAGCCACTAGGCCAGACCAAAATGTGTCTTTTAATAAGCAAAAATGCTTGAACAGTACTTTGACTAAATAAACAAAATACAATTGTACGCTAGAGTACTAGGCAGCCACTTAAAAATATTGTGGTGGCCAGGTGCAGTGGCTAACGCCTGTAATCCCAGCACTTTGGGAGGTGGATCACTTGAGGTCAGGAGTTTGAGACTAGCCTGGCCAACATGGCAAAACCCTGTCACTACAAAAAATACAAAAATTAGCCAGGTGTCATGGTGCACACCTGTGTTCCCAGCTACTCGGGAGGCTGAAGTGGGAAGATGGCTTGAACCTGGGAGGCCAAGGTTACAGTGAGCTAAGATAGCATTACTCCAGCCTGGGTGGCAGAGTGAGATCTTGTTTCAAAAAAAAAAAAATTAAATTAAAAAATAAAAATATTCTTGTATGATTTCATTTTTTTTTTTTTTGGTGGGGATCCCAGTCTTGGAAAAACTTAGAATCTTTTAACCTGTAACAAAAGCTAAATAACTTTAAAATATAGCAACAAAACAATTAACAAAGGGTGTGCTGGCTTGGAGACACCTATGATTTCATTTTTATTTAAAAAAAAAACAAGAAAGCAAGCAGCTGGGTGCAGTGGCTCATGCCTGTAATCCCAGCACTTTGGGAGGCTGAGGCAGGCAGATCACCTGAGGTCAGGAGTTCAAGACCAGGCTCCTGGGCGACAGAGCGGGACTGTCTGTCGCCCAACCTCCAGCCCGGGCAACAGAGCGGGACTCCATAAAAAAAAAAAATTAGCTGGGTGTGGTGGTGCACATCTGTAGTCCCAGCTACTACTCCGGAGGCTAAGGCAGGAGAACTGCTTGAACCCAGTAGGTGGAGGTTTCAGTGAGCTGAGATTGTGCCACTGCATTCCAGCCTGGGGACAGAGTGAGACAATGTCTCAAAAAAAAAAAGCAAGCAAGCACAAGCTAGTGAGTGGCAGAGCCAGGATTCAAAGTCAGGAGGTCCTCCTGTCCTAGATCCGTGCTCATAATCAACATGCTAATTGCATAATAAAATTATGGGAGGCTTTTTCTTCTTTCTGCTCTTCTAAATTTTCTGTAATGAACGTATATTTTTTGTTTTCTCTTTTTTTGAGACGAGTCTCACTCTGTCGTCCAGGCTGGACAGTGCCACGATCTTGGCTCACTGCAACCTCTACCTTCTGGGTTCAAGACAATTCTCCTGCCTCCGCCTCCCAGGTAGCTGGGACTACCGGCACATGCCACCACGCCCAGATAATTTTTTTTTTCTGAGACAGAGTTTCCCTCTTGTTGCCCAGGCTGGAGTACAATGGCATGACCTCGGCTCACTGCCACCTCTGCCTCCCAGGTTTAAGCAATTCTCCTGCCTCAGCCTCCCAAGTAGCTGGGTTTACAGGCATGCACTACCATACCTGACTCATTTTTATATTTTTAGTAGAGACAGGGTTTCATCATGTTGGCCAGGCTGGTTTCAAACTCCTGACCTCAAGTGATCCACCCACCTTGGTCTCCCAAAATGCTGGGATTACAAGCATGAGCTACCGTACTTGGCCTGATTTTCATCACTCCTCGTAATTTTCTTTACGAGTAGTGGAGAGGGATCTACTTATAAGCTAGCACTATGCTATAGTCTTTTAGGTTTCTGATTGTAAAAGTAACATGTTTTAATGTAAGCTTTTCATTTACATCAGGAGATAGGAGAATTACTTAAATCTGGGAGGCAGAGGTTACAGGGAGCCAAGATTGTGCCACTGCACTCTAGCCTGGGCAACAGAACAAGACTGTCTCAAAAAATAAAAGAAAATCAGATTTCTGGAAGTCAAACCTATTTTCATGGCTGCACGCATGTGGGGCTGGCCAAAGTTGGGTCTGGCAGTTTTCCCTACTTAGGCAGGGGCCCGCGAGGTCAAGAAGCCAGCAGGAGGGTCTCCAAAGCTCAGCCAGTCTTCCTTTCCTTACTGAACATCCTCATAGCCCTCCTCTGATTCACTGAGCTTGCTTTCCACAGGAAAGAAAAAACTGAGCCATCCCAAGGGGCAATGCTGGACCAGGAACAATATGAGGATTCCCACCTGGGAAAATACCGGCGCATCTACCCTGGGCCTAACACGGAGAAGTATGCCTGCTTCTTCAAGCACAATGGCTCCCTCTTCCAGGAGACTGCTGCTTCCAAGGCCAGAGAGGAGTGTGCCAGGTAGTATGACTGACATTCTCCTCTGCACACCTAGGTGGGGACAAGTCCTGCAGCAGCATTGCTCCTCAGCAGGGAAGCCAGACACTTGAAGAAGGAGGAATGGAGCTATAATCCTATCCGACTCTTAGTGGCTCTTTTCAGTTTAGGAGGTTTCCTGTCTTCCCCCTCATTGCTCTCCCATCAGTCCAAAGAACAGATTGTAATTTCCTACTCTTTCCCCATCTCCATTTTTCCTCACGCCTCTTCTCCCCAACACCACTTCCCTCGTGTCTGAAGCTGCTGTGTCTTGTCAGGCAGCAACTGGAGGAGATCCGCCTGAAGCAGGAACAGCAGGAGAACTCAGGCACTAAGAGGCAAAAAGCCAAGGACCAGAACCAGAGTGAATCCGCTGGGGAGAAGAGCCGGCCCAGGCCAGGGCTCCAGAGCCTTTCCACATGCTTGGTTTACAGGAACCATAATTGGGAGAAACAGGTGTGAGGGGTTTTGTGGCTCTTCTCTTTCTGCAGGAAAGTGGGGTGGGACAAGTAGAGAGGGGAATCTCTGCTGTCCTCTCCTCCCTTTGCATGAGAGAGAGGGGAGTTTTTAATCAGTAAATTGAATCTGGCCCTTTGGAAGAAGAGGTGAGGATGGACAGCAAAAGGAACTGTACTGGGTTGGGGGAGTGATAAGGGTAGAGCAGGCAGGAGGCCTGCAGCCATCCTGGGCAACGGTTCGGGACTCATCCTTGGAGATCCTGCATTTATCTCTCATGTACCTTGTAGCTGCTGCCGGGACAGCTGGACACCATGAGGCCTCAAGAGATTGTGGAAGAGGAAGAGCTGGAGCGGTTGAAGGCCCTGCTACAAAGGGAGGTGCTCATCCGAAGCCTGGGTATTGTAGAGCAGCTCACCCGCCTGCAGTACCCTGACCCCCAGGGCCAGAAAAAACTTCATGAGTGTCGGGTGAGGGTCCCCGTGAAGCCTCCCAGAGGAAAAGGGAACAAGGGCTGTTGTCCCAGCACATGGTTGTGGCCTCACCAAAGGAGGCTTCTGTGATGGTGTCTGTCAGTGGAACCTGGGAAAACAGAGTGCGCTGGCCGGCCCTTGGAAGAGGATCTGTTGATTCCTTTTGCGTCTATTCCCAAGCTCCTTTGTTTAAGGTGTGACATCCAGAAAAATGCAGCTCCAAACCTTCTCATTGACAAGAAACTTACTTTCTATATTCCTGTCCCAAAATAATCCCACACTCATGACTGACAAATATCAAGGCCACCACCCTCAGTGGCTTCTGTACTATTTTCTCCCTAGCACTGCCAGTGCCCTGGCTCTCATGGGAGATAAGTAAACAGTCTTGGGCCAACAAAACAGCTGCCGCTTTCACTATTCCCTGGGCTAGTGGCAAACCTGTTGGGTCTTCTGTTTTTGTCGAACCCCAAAGGAGTACCTGGTTAAACAGTGGCCATGGCCTAGAATAGATTTTTTTCAGTTACCTCCTTCTTCCAATGTTCCATCCAAACTCACATAAACATGTGGTAAGGGACTGCTCTTCTCCTCTAGCCTAGATTTCATTAGGACAGGCTGGGCAGTCAATAACTGAAGTCTGTGAGTCTGGTCCTATTGGTGCTCCTAAGAGGGGCTGTCACAGAGTGAGGCCCTTTTCATTTCCTGCATCCAGTTCTGCCCCATGAATCAATCCCTTAGGGCCACTGCTAAGCATGAATGCTGCAAACCCACATGTTCCCTGGTGCCATCTGCAGCCCAAGAACTTCAACTGGACAGGAGAGCCAGCAGCCATCAACCCCTGTTCATTGTCAATGAAGAAGGCTGGGAGGCACTATTTTTTCCAGTGCCAGAATCAAGCTCACTAGCCTAAGTATGCAAAACTAGCTTTCATCACTTGGACCTGTGTAAATGCCACTAGTAAACATAGAGCTTGGATGCTCCCAAAATATAATATGGCACTTTCACTAGGGCCAGAATGGGGAAGTTAGGGTATCCATTTATTTACTTCTTTATTTTTTGTTTTTTTGAGACAAGGTCTCTGTTGCCCAGGCTGGAGTACAATGGCTTGACCTCACCTCACTGCAACCTCGGCCCACGGGCTCAAGCAATTCTCCTGCCTTAGCCTCCTGAGTAGCTGGGACTACAGGCACATGCCACCATGCCTGGCTAACTTTTGTATTTTTTATTTTCGCCATGTAGCCCAGGCTGGTCTTAAACTCCTGAGCTCAGGTGATTTGCCCACCTCCGCCTCCCAAAGTGCTAGGATTACAGGTGTGAGTCACCGCAGCAGGCCTGTTTAATCCTTTCTGTACAGTAGACTGTGGTGATAGAAATGGCAAAAACAGAGTCCTGGCACTCAACAAAGGTAACAGGAACATGGACAAGTAGACATTCCAATGGCAATACAGTGTGATAAAGACAGTGGAGGGACGCATGGGATGCCCTTCTTCTGTGTCATTGGGTTACAGTTGGGAAAGAGGTGAGCAAATCTCTTCTGTGAGTACCAACTCAGGGACATCCATGTTTCCGCTGCAGAAGGCCAAGCCAGCAGAAGGTTAGAAGCCATAAACCGAGTCCTGGCAGGATCAGTGCCACCCACTTTAACCCCAAAGCAGGGCTATCTTCTGCAACCGGAAAGGGTGGCATCTGACTCCTGGGCTGAATGCACCTTGCCCTCCGTGGTAAACTCTGAACACATAGAAGCCAAGGTTCCCCTCTGCCCTGCGTCTGCACCGGTGCTGCAGCGTTCCAGAACACTCTTCAACATCAGTCAGTTCAGGTAAAAGCAGGAGGGAAGCCCAGCACTCTACCTCTCCTAGAGAACCTCCCGAGGTTTCCAGAGGGGCAAAGGGTATTCAATCTATGCTAAATGAAAGATTGCCACCAAGTTCCACTTTGAAAAGCCCTGCCCAGGAACCCCATTTGCACAAGGCAAAATACAAAGACACCAATACCCTAAGATTATTTGGAAATCGGGAAAGCCTAGAAGATGAAGAGGCGCCAAGGACAGCCACGTACTGATTTCTGCTCATCAAGCCTTAGCCTGGGTTTGTCGCTAGGTGACGGGTCTTAACCCTAGGTGCGGCCCGGGGCTGAAGGCCATCCTGGAGACAAAGAGCCCCTTTCTCTGAGGAGCCGAGTACCCAAGTCACCGGCTGTCGCCGTCAGAAGACCGCTGACCGGAAGCCCTGCCCGCGGCGGTGGCGGAGACAGGCAGGCCTGGGCAGCCGCTAGTGCGGAGAGACGGCGCTTGGAAACTGAATCCGTTTTTTAATTAAAGTTTGTGCCGTTTTCTAGGCGCGTCCTGTGCCTCATTTCCGAGCTCGCGTTTCAGGGAAGCCCCCTCCGCAGCTACAGCCACGAAGGCTGGGCCAAAGAGCGCCACAGGCCCAGATCTCCCCCAAACCAAGTGAGGCAGGAAATATTTGCTACCACTCAGCTTCCGGCCCGCCCCTTTCGCTTCCGGTTCTGCCTTTCTACTTCCGCTGCTGTCTCGTAGCGGACTACTGAAGACTAGTTAGCGTCGACATGGCGGTTACCCTGAGGGTCTTGCTGGGCGGCCGCATTCGCGCTGCCGTTGCTCGCTGTGGGTTTGCGACCGGGGGAGTGGCAGGCCCAGGCCCTATCGGCCGAGAGCCCGACCCCGATACCGACTGGGAGCCGGAGGAACGGGAGCTGCAGGAGGTGGAGAGGTACAGGCTTCTCCCCGGGCCCTCAGCTTGAAGCAGGGCCTCGCGCCCCGGCGCCCTAGGCTGCGCCCTCGGCGCTGGGCGTCCTGCGGCCGCTTGCGCAACGTCCCTTGTTCCTTCTTACCCGTTGTCAGGGGCGCAGCGTCAGGTGTTCAGCTCCCCTGGAACCCCTGGTCCCTTCACTAGTGACGTATTTCATCACCAATATAGAAAGTTCGGCATCTCGCGGGCAGTTACTGTGTTCTAGGTGTTAGCTTTTGGGTGTACAGAGCAGCTCTAAGCAGGCAACATGGCCCGGTTGCCCTTGCAATCCTAGAGAAGAGGGCTGGGCGCTCCTGATTTAGCCTGAGGCTCTTCAAACATCCATTCTGCTTCCACGCATGGCTTCCGCCCTTGATTCTTTCCCCCAGCACCCTGAAACGACAGAAAAAAGCAATCCGATTCCAGAAAATTCGAAGGCAAATGGAGGCGCCTGGTGCTCCGCCCAGAACCCTGACGTGGGAGGCCATTGAGCAGATCCGGTAAGACTCAGTGCACCTCCTATGTTTCTGCTGTGATGAGAAGTGAAGGATACAGGATCCCAGAACACGGGTTTGGCTTTTATATTTTTGTTTACTTTTTGTCATTGAAATTTATTATCAGAAAAGTAGAGTAATATAACGAACTTCCATAAACCTGTCATCATCTAGATTTAATAGTGTTTTGTTTTGCTTTTTAAAGAGACGGGGTTTCGCCATGGTCTCAAACTCCTAACCTCAAGTGATCTGCCCACCTGGGCCTCCCAGAGTGCTGGGTTGTGTCCAGCCTGGATTTAATAGTTTTTTTTTTTTTTTGTTTTTTATTTTGGGTTTTTTTTTTTTGGTTAGGCAACTGGAAAGATTTAATAGTTCTTAACGTTATGCCATGGTTGGTTCATTTTTGCTGACATTTAAAAAAAATAGTAACGGAGACATCACAACATTTAAGCCCTGAATGGTAGATCATAACCTTCCCAAGGTCCAGGGATGCTGGTGTTTCCATAGTTAGGTGCATTTTTCTGAATAGAGGATCCATAATTTAGGGAAGCTTAAAAGGGATTTTAAGGTTTTTTTGTTCTGAGTAGGTAAAGCATTACATAATGGCTTACTGTCTTTTTTTTTTTTTTTTTCTTTTTTTCTCTTTTTTGAGACAGTTTCGCTCTTGTTACCCAGGCTGGAGTGCAATGGCGCGATCTCGGCTCACTGCAACCTCCGCCTCCTGGGTTCAGGCAATTCTCCTGCCTCAGCCTCCTGAGTAGCTGGGATTACAGGCACGCGCCACCATGCCCAGCTAATTTTTGTACTTTTAGTAGAGACAGGGTTTCATCATGTTGACCAGGATGGTCTCGATCTCTTGACCTCGTGATCCACCCGCCTCGGCCTCCCAAAGTGCTGGGATTACAGGCGTGAGCCACCGTGCCTGGCCTTGGCTTACAGTCTTAACAGTATAACATGGTATACGCATTGAGAATTATTTGTCCCACCCACTGTCCTGTGGATATTTTTTCACCCCTACGGATCACTGCAACCTCTGTCTCCTGGGCTCAAGTTATCCTCCCACTTCAGCCTCCCAAATAGCTGGGTCTACAGGTGCATGCCACCATGCCTGGTTAATTTTATTTTTTGTAGAGACGGTCTCATCATGTTGCCCAGGCTTGTCTCCAATTCCCGGGCTCAAGCAGTCTTCCCATCTCGGCCTCCTAAAGTGTTGGGATTATAGGCATGAGCCATTGTGCATAGCTGTACTATTTTTTTAATGGTTTTTCTCTACCAAAAATAGCCAGGCTCCGTGCCCTGGGTGAGTCACTGCGCCTGGCCCTTAATTCTTTTTTATAGATGGCATTATCATAGTTTTTTGAGGCAGTATAAGATAGCGGTTTTTAATTTAATTTTTATTTAAACATTGGTTTCCTCCTTTCTATTTAACAGAGATGAGGATTTCACTATCATGACCAGGCTGATCTCAAACTTCTGGCCTTAAGTGATGTTCCCATCTCGGCCTCCCAAAGTGCTGGGATTAGAGGTGGGAACCACCACGCCTGGCCAGGATGCATTATTTAACATGTCTTTTGTTATGAGCGTTTAGTTGGGCTATTTCCATTTCTGTTGCTCACTAATAGTGCTCCAGTGAATAATTTTGTATATGTATCATTCTACGTACTTGTCAGGAATATTTTTAAATACATTCCCAGAAGTAAGGTTGCCAGGTCAAAAGACAGATGTATTTGCATTTTGATAAATATTGCTAAGTAGCCCTATGTAGGTTATGTATTATTTTTCATTTCCATCAGAATGACTCTGGAATTGAAATTTAAAAGGGGATTCTGTAGAGCTGGATAAGATTTTGTGAGCCTGTAGCACCTTCTGGATCCTCGGTCAGGTCTGTCTCCTTTTTTTTTTAAATTTGTTTTTGTTTGAGATAGTCTCACTCTGTCTTCCAGGCCAGCGTGCAGTGCTGAAATCTCAGTTCACTGCAGCCTCTACCTCCCAGGTTGAAGAGATTCTGGGACCTCAGCCTCTGCCTCCAGGGTTCAAGAGATTCTTGGGTCTCAGCCTCTTGAGTAGCTGGGATTTCAGATGTGCACCACCACACCTGGCTCATTTTTGTGTTTTTAGTAGAGATGGGGTTTCACCATGTTGACCAGGCTGGTCTCGAACTCCTGACCTCACATTTTCCACCTGCCTCAGCCTCTCAAAGTGCTGGGATTACAGACATGAGCCACCGGCGCCCACCCTGTATCCCCTGTCTTCAACAATAGCTTTTTCACTCCTTTCACCTTCCTACTTATCTCCCTTTTTTGTGGTCAATAAATGTCTTTCAAAAAAAAAAAAAAAAACAGTCCCTTAAGTAAGAACTTTCAGCTTCCTGGTCTTCCTCTTTGCTTGCTACTCTCAAATTTATACTCTACGCTCATCTCGAGGAAATGGTAGCCCTTCACTTGTCTGGGACCAAACCACTGTATGCTTTAGGTCATATTTCTCCCTGCTTACTCAGGGACCTTTGTCCTCAACCTGAAGCTCCTCTCATTCTTTTGTTCCCAGCTGGTTTTCAGGTTGCCTACCCTTTGTATCACTGCAGTAAAACTGCTCTCCTTAAATCCTCAGTGACTCCCTCAGTGCTAGGTTCAAATGACTCTTTGTAGTCTTTAGCCTCCTTAATAATTCAGCAGCATTTGCCCTTGTAAAAACTGCCTTTTAGTCTGGGCGCGGTGGCTCAAGCCTGTAATCCCAGCACTGGGAGGCCGAGGCGGGTGGATCACGAGGTCAAGAGATCGAGACCATCCAGGTCAACATGGTGAAACCCTGTCTCTACTAAAAATACAAAAAAAATTAGCTGGGCACGGTGGCACGTGTCTGTAATCCCAGCTTCTCAGGACGCTGAGGCAGGAGAATTGCCTGAACCCAGGAGGCGGAGGTTGCAGTGAGCCAAGATCGCGCCATTGCACTCCAGCCTGGGTAACAAGAGCGGAACTCCATCTCAAAAAAAAAAAACCTGCCTTTTAAATGAAAAAAAAAAAAAAATGTAAATGCCATGTTGCCCAACCTGATCTCCAACTACCAAGCTCAAGCCATCTGCCTGCCTCAGCCTCCCAAAGTGTTGGGATTACAGGCATGAGCTACTGTGCCCACCTGAAACTGCTTTTTTTCCTTTCTTTCCCTCCCCTCCTCTCCCTCTCATCTCCCTCTCATCTTGTCTCGCCTCACACTGTTACCCAGGCTGGAGTGCAGTGGGGCAATCTCTGCTCACTGCCACCTCCACCTCCTGGGTTCAAGCGATTCCCCTGCTCCAGCCTCCTTAGTAGTTGGGATTACAGGTGTGTGCCACTACACATGGCTAATTTTTGTATTTTTTCTTTCTCAGTAGAGACCGGGTTTCACTACGTTGGTCAGACTGGTCTCAAACTCCTGACCTCATGATCCGCCTGCCTCAGCCTCCCAAAGGGCTTGGATTAAAGGCATGAGCCACCACACCTGGCCTATTTTCTTTATTTTATTTTATTTTATTTTATTCGACCCTCAGTCTTGCTCTGTCGCCCAGGCTGGAGTACAGTGGCACAATCTCGGCTCACTGCAACCTCTGCCTCCTGGGTTTAAGTGATTCTCATGCCTCAGCCTCCCAAGTAGATGGGATTACAGGTGCATGCCACCACACCCAGCTAATTTTTCATTTTTTTATTTTTAGTAGAGGTGAGGTTTCACATGTTGGCCAGGCTGGTCTTGAACTCCTGACCTCAAGTATCTGCCCACCTTTGCCTCCCAAAGTACTGGGATTACAGGAGTGAGCCACCATGCCCGGCCTTTTTTTTTTTTTTTTTTTTAAATTTTTTATTGCATTTTAGGTTTTGGGGTACATGAGCAGAACATGCAAGACAGTTGCGTAGGTACACACATGGCAGTGTGTTTTGCTTCCTTTCTCCCCTTCACCCACATTTGGCATTTCTCCCCAGGTATCCCTCCCCACCTCCCCCTCCCACTGGCCCTCCCCTTTTCCCCCCAATAGACCCCAGTGTTTAGTACTCCCCTCCCTGTGTCCATGTGTTCTCATTTTTCATCACCCGCCTGTGAGTGAGAATATGCGGTGTTTCAT